CCTCAAAATGTTACATGATTAAACGTTCTGTTCACTTCGACAATTTCAACTTCATATTGACTAGGTTTTCAACTCTTCTATGATGTAGGTTGATTATTCTACCTTTTTTTTACAAAGTTAGCACTGAAGGGCTTTGATATCATCTATTCATTTTTTTTATTATATAACTTCATTTCGTTAATTAAAGTTTATTTACGTATATTCAGCAATAATTGTAGAAGAAAAATGAAAGTGGCTAAGTGAAATTATTAGCTAGATTCAGTTCACAAAACATAATAATTTTCACTACATTCCTCATTCGGCAGGTAACGAGGCATCCACTTCAGCGAATTAGAATGTCCGATGCATTTAGAAAGAACTCAAAAAGTCCATTCCGCGACCCCAAAACGAAGAAATAATACTATTGTTCTGGTCAATATCTTATTAAAACATTTACGACTAGAAACATACATGACGTATTGCCTGAATTCATTATCCAATTCCGCACACCTCTCAATTAAACGTTTATTTTCCGACCTCACACGAACGCTTCCCTCGTATTTAAGTGATGATTCAGTAGTTTAATTATTATTTCAGAACGCCGACGCATTAGTAGCAATGCAGTGCCGTGGCTGGCACCGCCCGCTGTCAATGTGTTTGCCGATCGTAATGCCAGTTTGCTCTCCGCCCGCGCCGCGCCGCACCGCGCTGCTCGGCGCCGGCTCATTCTCAAACACACACGCGCGCGCGCGCGCTCTCGTGTGTGGGCGCACGTGCGCACGCTGCGCTATTTGCGCCCACGTGCGCGCGCGTGGGGGCGGAGCGCCCGGGTGTGCGCAAAAACGCGCCACAGTGGGAGACCACCAAGCGCGCCTTTTTGCTTCGCGCTGTTGCGCTGTTGCGCACATTGAGAGCCGATACAGCGGAATACAATTTCAACCCCGATGGAATATTGGATTTTGAAAAAATGTTTATTGCATTGGTGAAATCGGTGGGAAATTGATTTCTTGATGTTTCCAAGCAACTCAACTACTATGCCCTGTTTGGCTACAGATATATATATATATATATATATATATATATATATATATATATATATATATATATATATATATATATATATATATATATATATATATATATATATATATATATACACACACATATCAACAACAATTTCAGAGAGAGAATGTCAATGTTAACAATAGGGGGGCCGATGTTCCTTCCCTATGGGATGGTTAAATTGGGCGCTAACCTACACATTAGCTTGCGGTGGATTTCCCTCTTTAAAATATCTCTCCGAGAGGGGCACTGCTCTTGGTGGAAAGAGCAGGGAAGCGGTGAAGACAAGAAAGAGGATGATCACGCACGGTCCTTAACCCGTTTGTTAGTGCCATGCTTCGACGTTCTCCTGACACTGATCGAAGAATGCACGGAAAACTACCAATCAGGGCAGCCGTCCGCCAGAATTCTCCTCCAGGCAGCGGCTGAATTCGACATAACTATGAAACTAAGAGTCGAAAATTCGCTACTTTAAGGACTTTAACCTCTGACCTCCCGGTCACAGTCGCTGCAGAGGCAGCAACAATGCTGATCTAAACTCGACCAGTTGGAAAATTAGTTATTTCTTCAACAGTGCCATGAAATAATCGTTCTCTGTGTTATCTAAGTTTGGGGTAGATTCATCACAAATAGCCCATGGATCTTAGCAAAAGAAAAGCTCATGATCACTAATGAAATTATGAATTGAAATTCATGCAAAAACGCTTGTTTCTACAATTATCCAGAATACTACGGTATGTAGCCAAATCGCTGGGCCACACCCCCTGGAGCTCACAAGAACTCTCACATTTTCTTTTTCTCCCACATACATCACATTTAATTTTAACTGTTTTTCGACGTTGAATAACAAGTGACTCCAAGATCACTTTGTATCTCGGGGATCTGCCAACTTGTCATCTGGGTCCATAAGACCTCTAACGCTTGTCAATTTTTCCTAGCTCAATTGGAGAATTGAGGACACCTATGAAGAAAGAGCAGGTCATCGCCGAGTCAAGACTCGGAACGATGACTTTGGTGATGGATAGCGCGCGGCCTCTGACCTGTTGTTATAAAGCTACGAAATCCGCCTGGAATTGATAGGAACAAATCACGGAACCGACGAGCCTCTATAATTTTCATCCGGGAAGTGTGCGGTTACCGCCTTGATATTTAGCTAGTGGCAACAACGCGTCGCCTTTGAGACTCGAGACGACAGTATCACCGTACAATGCTTCACTTACAGACTCCCAAGTGCATTCGGTATTGCAGCAGAGGTATTACAAGGAATTTGTTTGTGTTTTTTCATTGTACTACTTCACGTAATTCGTTGAAGAATGCAATTTTGTAATTAAATACGTTGACGTCTTCGTGGTGAAAAAAATAGTGGATATAACCGTTAGCAGACAGATTTGTAATATTAAGATTGTAAATTAATTTGCATATTTACATGTACTTACGTTATAGTATTATTACATTACAGTATACATTACGTACACAAATTCAACAACGGTTCAAACTTACTACAAAAGGTACGCATTAACAACATAATACATAGATTATTTCAACAATTTAAGGTATTGACTCTGGTTTATAGTTTTCATTAACAATACCACTTAATAGAAAACTAAATCCCTCGTTTGGAGAATATGATTCAGGATTACTACAGATGTGCAATCATCCAATTGTAAATACACAAACACATATTTGCGATCAATAAATGTCATATTACAAAAATCCTACGAAATGTCGGTCACACAGATCGTAGAGGTCTCAATGCATATCATTTTCAATGAATTTATCGTTGCAATTCAATTCATCAAACTGAAAATTTCAATTGCAGTTGACTATTGCACTATGTCCGAGTATTTTAAAATTTGTTATTAACAGCAGAATCGTACGAAGCTTTCTCAATTTTTCTAAAGCATTTTTGATTTAACATGTTGTTTTCTCTTTGTGCCATGCACGCCCTTTGACCCGTTGCCGCCCACTGTGCTCCGCTCCCTTCCACGAAGGCGGACGCGATGGCGGTCGCGATGGCGGAGGCTTATGGCCAAAGTACTCTCCATTCATTAGCTCGGCACGCGAAGCCTTTATTCTGGGCTTTAGAGAGGAGGCTTTTTGTACGGGAATGTGAAGGAAACTGTCAGCAACCACAGTAATGCACACTGTTTTCAGTGGATTACCGCAACCTCATTTTCGTGATTTTGTAAATGAAGTGACTTTATTAAATAGTCGGTTAAAATGGTACTCAACAAATGTGCACGTTTCAGTTAAAAATTTCAACAAATATGAGTTTGTTGATTAATTAACACTTAAAGTAACATTGTTTCATTTAAAGTTTTTGGCTAAGAGTAATATTAAAAATGTTGAATATATACGCTGAAATATAAAATCGAATAGATGGCCATATGTCGGAGATATTTTTATTTAAAACATTTCTACGATCTTGCATACTACATAGTAGTAAAGACAATTTTGTAATGCTCCAGCGAAAACCGGCGATTTTCGTCAGAAATATTCGTATAGGAGGTCCCTGTCGTCGAAACAGTGCAAAGACTCCTTCCTAAATGTTTTAATTTGCTTCTTCTAACACATTCTGTAATCACAATCCACGTGTTTAGGGTCTTAAATACCAAGAAATTGGTCCACGGCAAATCGTCTGACTGTCTGTCCATCATCAACGCTAGCCATTGTGAGCAGAATACTCACCAAAATTAATCTCACAACGTACGGCGGACAACAGAGGGCAGATATAAAAATGATTGGGCATAAAATATTGTATTATCCTTGAATAATTAAAAAGTAAAAAGTTTATTTAAAACTGATTTCAAAGAAACCAGGTGAATATAGTTCACCATTGGAAAGAAAAATATTCAAAACTGAAATGTATTTGGCAATTTATATGTAATTTCCCCCTTTCCTGCGAAGAGAAATACGAAAAAATAATCCCGTCTCAAGACGACTTCCGAGTGAGCAAGACTTCTCAAACCGTACCACCCACACGCATTCACTTCTCCCCTCACCTCCAACGAGCCTGTCTGTCCATCGGCGCTTCGCTGACAGCGAAACAACGTGACAGCGCCGCCCCGAAACGGCCGTAACGATACGAAAATAACCCGAAATTAGCGACATTCCTGGAGCCGCCGCCAGAGTTCGCGTGTGCAGGCGGCGCCTGGGCTGCGAGGTTCATCGCCTCCGCCGTAGATTGGGGCGCCCCTGGCGACCGCTCCAGATGTGGGCTTACAAATTGTTTCCGGAGGTGGGAGTGGGGACTCTTGATTACAGTTAAGTGGACTGAAGTTGCTACCGCGTATAAAGCATTCCTGCACATAAATTGATCTGCAGAGTTTCGGGTTATTTGTAATGGTTTACATTTTTAAATATTCAATAGGTGTATTTTTTGTAGCATTGACATGTACTATTACCTCTTATGTGTTTATAAAAACCATTAAAAAGTGTTGACTAATGTAATCTATTAATAGCGTCCGTTGGTATTGTAAGGGATAAGAGAATTAGATCGAGACTTGAAACGATTGTATATATTACGTGTTCAGATTTATCAATTGGAAATACTTGGATACATACTTTGGCCAGTGATTAGTAAATTTCGACAATTTCAATGCTTAATCATTTCATTAAGATTACGGAGTTTGGTTTGAAGTCTTATTACAATGATATTAAAATAATTCCTCAAGAAACATTCAACACATAAGAATTGTAAAATCTAATCGAATGCTTGTACTACTAAAAGAAATATATTATAGGATAAAAAATAATTTAAAGAAATCCTTCGTCAAAATGCAATGTTAAAATTTTAAAATATGTTTCTTGGGAATAATGTGCTTTAATTTTCATATCCTTCCTTCTGGACAACTTTCTCCCACGTCTGTCATTATAAAAACAAATTACTACAAATCAATTTCGTAAACTTGCTCTTCCTAAAGTATCCTAAAACCAATACATACAATTGTTCACACTAGTAAAAAAACTTCCATAAATCATATTCTCTTTCTTTTCCCCGTGGGGCCTGGTAAAACCCGAAATACACCTCCCGGCTCCGGAGCCGGTCGTGCATCGGGCACAGAGCCCACTTACACTATTCATAATCCGGCGCCGTGGCCGCAGCCAAACCGCACGCAGCCCGGGGCCCGCGCGAGCAAAAACGCGCAGATGATATCGCGGAGGCGGCGCGCGCTAAATGGCAGATTCATGCTGCCACCGCAACCGCCGACGCCGCCGACGCCCGCCGCCGGCTACAACGCAGCGCCCGAGTCGAATGGCCCACAGGCCGCCCCGAGCGGCGAAGACCGCGTTCTGCAGAGGCAAGCAGCCCGAGGACACCGCACTGCTCGAGGGGACTTTGATTTTGCTGCCTTGCTATAGCTTTTCTTTTCTTGAGTTTCTTCTACTTCTCCTCTTCTTTATTCACTTCTTACTCCTCTCCTTCCCCCTCTGCATCTTCTTCTTTCCTTCTTTTACTTTTTTTGTTGTATTTTTGTATTCTTGTTGTTTTTTTTTCATCTTCTTTTCTTCGTTTTCGTCATCATGTTTTTCTCCCTAGCAGAGGCTTAGCCTTTAACTGCTTCAATAAGGCCACACACATCCTGTATACGAATATTCCTGTACCACCTAGAGATGTGGCTCACGGCATCAACCGATATCACTGCTGGACCTCTGACCAGGAGGTCGTAAGGTTTGAATACCGGCGGTGGTAGGACTTTTGACACTAGATAGGTCGAATTCAGTCTGCCTGGAGGAGAATTCTAGCGGCCGGCCACTCTAATAGGTAATTTTCCTTTTCCAATCAATAAGAGATCAATGCCGTAGTAGTACTCTAACAAACGGGCCACGAACCGCTCACGGTCTTTCCTTCCCTTTCTCACATCCTCATCCCTTACTCCAAACACACACTTACTTATGCACTACACTATCACACACGTAGGGAGACCGGTCAGGAGCATCCAGTTTGCCCCAGCTGGAGCGGTCGGCGCCGGATCTACCATTCATTGAGAGAAGATCACCTCAACCTACCGAGGAAAACAATATACACTACACGTACAGGACTAATGGCAGCCGTTCATGCGACTCCAATCACTGATCAATCAATATAACACCATGCACGTAAGTCTCGAGGAGAGAGGGGCTTTAGAGAACCTTACATCTGCTATTTTTAGTGTGTTTCAAAGTCATTCAATTCCTTGGTGCTCTGGGTTTATCCTTTCCCGAGCACAAATCGTAGGCCACACACAGGGAAAGAACCCCTTGATGCTAGGAGACGGATGGTGTCTACCTCGCAGCAGTTCAATCAATAAAATTCAAAACCTATAATGCTCTTTCTGACCCTTTAGTCAGAAGAAAGTCTAAAATTGGACGAAAACTGATTGCACATTTGTAATTTTCCTACGCGTACTAAACACCCTTTTGGCAGCAAACCCATGCTATCGGGGGGGGGGTGCAATGTGGGGTGGGAAGAAGCTGGGCAGGACGAGCGGAGCGTATCCAAATTTCGCTAAATAAGCACCCGAGTAATACAGGTACTTCAGCTAGTTATAAAAAAATGCCCCAAAATATTTGAGACGCAGTAGATAAATAAGTTCGTGTGTGCATTCATTCTGAAGAAAACAGTCGTTCAAACACACTGTGCCTGCATTCCGTTTACATATGAGCAGAACTCAATGAAAACGTCCAACTTCTCTGAAAATATCCACGGCGAAATATATTTTGATATACAGTTCGTGGGGCGGAAGAAGAGATATAAAATATGCCGATACACCATAATTGCTTTCACTGCTATCTTGAGCGTGCAAGACATCTGCCTTAAGTTAGAAATGCAACGATGGTGGTTGGAAACACAGTGGGACGACCAAAAACGTGCATTTTGGGAACAAAAATATTTTGCCTGTGATACATTAACACTTACAAAATAAATGAGAATAAATATGTCCAAAAGTGAAATTTATATAAAACGAAATAAGACAATGTTATTCATAGTATCAGACACAGACATCGGTTATCGAACCTGTCTTGTGAACACTTAGTTGCTTCAAGGCGGTGATTAAGTGGTAACATTTAGTATCAAATACAGGAACAACATTTGGCTCAGAACAATATTTCGAACGTTGGTCGTGTTCGTAACTTACCGGTAATATCAACCGATGGTGAAAGCAACACAGCACAGGTACAGGAGAACCGAGTACGATTCTCGGTTGTAATAACTAATTGAGTTGAGTAATAAGATTTTGGTGGGGAAATATCACAGTAGACCCACCATGCAGTCTGTACAAATTAAGATTGCACTCGTGTCTGTAGTAATCACAACGTGCATGTAAAACAAGTCTACGAAACTTTTATGGCTAGGATGCGACCACAGTGCTCCGTTACTCGCACTACCTGTTACATAAGATCAGTATGGAAGGTTTGGCGTAAATATATGAAACGATGATAGTTTTGGTGGTGATAATGATGATGAGGAGGAGGAGAAGTATAGTTTAAGGGCGCCTCAACATCTAAGGTTCACTTGCGCTCGTCCATGTGAGTTGCGTATTCGGTTACATCACTTCTGTACCGAAATATCCTCATAATCTTAGCAGTATACGCAAGTCATGTCACATACTTCACTGCGGCTGCAATCCCGGCACAGCGTAACGGATATTTTTTTACTTCTATTTCATTTAAGTAAAAACCTTCAATAGAATAAATTGCAAATAAAATTTGCAACGATTCTCAACGTCGTTTGCCCCAAATCAGTAGCGTAACGAAATGAGTACGGGCCCTCCCACAAAACTTTTATCCTCGCCCCCTTTATGAAACTGTATAGCAAACACAAGTAGTATTAGTACCTTAAATAATAAAAAAATATCCACTAGAAATAGGCCCTCTTTTACCTGGGCCCGAACGTTATGCCACCGGACCCAGTGTGTGCCTTGTCGACGCCGGCGCGCCTTGCCGCTTGGCGGGACCTCTGATGCAGACGACGTCTGAGATTTCCATTTCGATACTCATCGAAGCGGCGAATGAATCGGCGCGCGACCAGGGAGGGGAGGAAGCTGCGCGGCGCGCGGCACACAGTTCGCGACGCCCCGGTTGCCATGGAAACTGATTCGTTCTCACGTCGTGACAAGCGCGCTCTCACGTTGTCTTCTGCCTGTCGCCGAATTTTCACGCCGCTTGCGGGAACTTAGGTGTTGGTCTTTTTCGTGTGCTTCCGTGAACACGCTTTATGGATTGGCGTCAAGCCAGTTCATATCTCCACCAAGTCGTTTTTGTTCTTTCGTGAGATGTGGATGTTGCTCTATTGCTTTTCATCACGTTCAGTTCGTGTATTTATTCAGTTAGTTTTAATTACTTTCATTTAGTACGTGATAATAGCTCCAGCCAACGTACAAGAACGTTTTAATTGGATAAAGATGTGTAGTATTTGCGTTTTTGTGGGCTTATATGGCTCATACTGAACTATGTTTTCTACTCGTTTGTTGACATTGGCAGAGTAAAAGTTGATAACGTCTATTTCTTGCACAAGACCACATAACTTGCGTATGTATTTGAACAAGTTTTATTCTTACATACGAAAACAATTTCAATATTTCTACAGCCAACTGAAACGCATTCGGCTATTTAGACGCTGCTCCTTAGTCACAGCTAATTATTCCCTAGCCAAAACACTCCTCTCCCTTTGCACAGTTTTCCCTCGCGATGTGCCGTTGGTCTTCCCCCAGAGGATGGCGAGATACGGCCAACCGACCGTCGACTACCGGGTTTCTCCAACCAGGTACCTCCCACCAGGTACCTCCCACCGGCGGGGCACCGCCCAGCCGGGACAAGCTTTAAACTTTTGATCGGTCCCGAGCGGACTTCTCGGAATGCTCGCGCGCGATTCGTGCCCTGTTTGTTAGAGGGCATTCGTCTGGTGTCAATCGGAAAAACCGCTGCCGCTAGAAATCTCCTCCTGATAGCAGCTGAATGCGACCTAGCTCTGCAGTTATTGTCGAAAATCCTGCCACCGTCGTGACTCGAGCCTAGGACCTCCCTGTTAGAGGCACTGCAGTGACATCAGTTGCTCCCCTGAGCCACCTCTCCCGGTGTCAGTGATCGAGAGTGCACACATCTTACGAGCGATTTTCTCGCAGACTTGAAGCAACAAAGAACGGAGCACGAGCGCTCCATAACCCAACGAGGCGTGCGGTTCGCGAGCGGCTTCGCGGCGAATTTGGAGGGCCCTCTGAGTGCCCGCGCGCTCCGCCACCGCCACCGCCACCGCCACCGCCTCCGCCTCCGCCTCGGCCCCATTCATCGCGGGCGACGCGGCGCAGCGCTTTGATGGGCACGGCCCCCTTCGCGGCGGCGGCGGTGGCGGCGTAAACAATCAGGCGGCCTTGAATGGATTCAATTCACTCGCAGACCATTACCATACGCTATGATTTATACGCGTTATTTATTTACTTTTTGCTGTAACGGCGCCCCCTCTCAATCGCCGCCCAGGAAAAGTTTGCCAGCGGGTGGGAAGGGGGGGGGGGAGGAGTGGAGAAGAGGAGGGGAGGAAGGGATATAGATTCATGAGTGAGGGACGCACGGAAAATGTTTCATCTGACATTTTGTCAATGTTCTTAACTATTCTAAGTATAATATTTTGTTTTCTATAAAACAAAGAGTGATATACTTAATTCTTAGGGAAGCCCATTAGAAAAACTTACTGTTTAATACATTTACTTCCGGGAATCTAAGTATATTTTTTCATAGATACGACACCTTTGAACATAAACGAGGAAGGTCCAAATCTATAGACTTCTAGTCAATATCTAAGATTTATTATTAATCGTTAACAATGTTACCAATTCTTTTGTCTGAAACATCAGTTTTTCCAATCATACATTATTTATGACGGGAATCACAGTTTTCAGATTTCATCACCTCAAACCAAAGCACAAGGCAAAAGAGATTCAACATGAGCTCTGCAGAACTCCCATGAATAGAAACGCCGGTATGTGCATAGTTTTGGATCTATTTCTAAAATTAGTGGTGAAAAATGTTGAAACCAAAGATGAAAAACGGATCATAGATCAAAGGAAATTTATAGAATTGTTTTGCTGGTAATTTTTCGTAATCGAGTCATAAATCTGCAAACGAGCAATCTTTGGACTGCTTAGCATACGCACGTTGAGTGTTCGTGAAGGAGATTTGAACTTGGATCGTTAATATCTTTGACGATATAATTGTTGACCGAAGCATGCAGTTACAAATTTAGTGTTTGAAAGGCTAGTGTCTCTGGAGTGAAACATTCGTTTCGAAAAGTGAGATGAATTAACCTTGCAGAAAACCAGTAACGATAACTATGCATTCTAATTACTAGTCCGAGTACTAGTGGAAAATTCGTTAAGGTATGCATGGAAAATGAAAAGACGAAACGTAGTAACCCAGTAAAATTCGTCTTGTAGCAAATCATTTGTACAAACCCCTGAGGGTTTGAGGCGACTGGGCCCTTGGGTTTCCTGGCTCAAGTACTTTGGGGGGGGGGGGCGGAGGGAGGCCGGGTTAAGCACGGGTGCGGCGTGCACTGGGTGAAGGGGAGGGTGAGGTGGGGTTTAGTGGGGTGGGTTTGGGGTCCGCGGGGAGGCACAAAGGAGCCACGCGTCGCGGCGGTGGCGCGTGCCGCGTAAGTAATACTCCAGGGGGCCGTGATGAGATCACGCGCTGGAATTAAGGCGGCCGTGGCCGGGTGCTAACTCCTGCTAACGCGATGCGGCGCGGGAGTCGCGTGACGCATGTGGGTGCCTGGGATGCGGCGCGTATTGGTGCACCCGGTGGGGTGCAGAGCACTTTGCGGTGACTTGGCCGGCGACATGTTCAGCTCTATGCGTTAAACGACCGTCAACTCAATGAAAAGTCCCTATCAGCTGCCGCTGACATTTTCACTCACCAAAGACGACGCCACTGACAAACCTCCAATTCGTGACGATACTTTTTGAATAACTGCTGCAGTGCTAGTTTTCTTTAATAATTTGTCGTTATTATTCAGTCTCCACATTCGACCGTACACCAGACCTCCGAATGCGATCATATTTTTCTTATCCCCCCCTTCCCCCCATCAACAAGAAACTGTCACCATAACAACCCTTTCAACGACCAATATTTCGTCACCTATGAACATCATAAATATTTATTGTTACTTTGGGAGGTCAATGCGAAACGCAGGTTCTGACCCCCTGGGCTTGCGCAGAGGAGTAGGAATGAGGCCGCAGGCCCCCCTTGAAATTGCTGGAAGGGGATCCGTAGCCTTGCGCAGTAAAACGTTTTCCCCTTAAATGTTTTAAACACGTGTTTTTACCTTTTTAACGTGATAATTTGGGGAATTGATATACAATTTGAGGGGAAGTTTCTTCAAGACATCTAGCAGCCCTGAAAATCAGAGATTCCCAATTTTTCTCGTATGCCTCCGTTTTAAAAGAATTGTTTACTTCATCGACTTCCTTTAATTTTTTCTCTAAGGTATTACGCAGTACACAGTCATAAAACAAATAATTCCACATAAAATATTTAATGATAATTTTTATACAGCAATGTTTTCGTAAATATCTTGGTTTCCTTTAATTGAATGAGGTTTATTTTTGTGCAATTGTTACAATATATTCAGCATTTTTTCTAAAACTGGGGGCATAGTTATATTTTGAGGATATCGGAGAATATTTTCTTTCACAATAGATCAACGTTGTGAATAGATATTATAGATAGATGTATTCTTCTGGAGTTTTCTACTTTCTGTGATATTTTTAAAATTTAATAGTAATATGACAATGTAAGTAAAAAATGTTTAATAGAAAAAGGAATCAGAAAAAGGTGCCTCCTCTCTTCTTTTAGGGTGCGCACGCCTGTACTTACCGCCAAACTCGGTGCTAGAAATTCTTTGATTGATTTAAAGAAATATTAATGTTTAGAGACATATGTGTTTTTTGGAAATAATTACCTGTTAATAATGTGGTTTAAGATTCCGGGGGGACCCCACCTTTATTACCACGAAGAAATTGCAGCGTGTTATTTGAACTGAACTGAATTTGCTATTATTTTGAAAACTTTAATGATTTCATGTTGTATCTTTTAGTTAACTGGCAAAATATTTATAATTTAAATAACTTTTATTGATTGTAATGTTCATGGCCGTTCATAGCTGTCGACTTTTATGAATTTCCAACCACCTACTGACAAGAAGTTTCTGAAGATGTTGAATATATTTAGGGGCTTCCTTTTCTTCTTCTCTTTCTTCATTCTCTTTCTTTCTTTTTTCTCTTTATTCTTTGGCTTTTTCTTACCAATCTCCATCTCTCTATGAGATGTATGATGAACCGTACAGTAGACACTAATAGACTTCAGGGCTCAGCTCATCGGATACGGGATCAGCAGAAGTCTACTTTTCATTCATTCATACCCGCGTTTCACTTTATCTTCAAGATCATTCCCTAAATTCGTTTCCCATATCACCTCGGTATCATCATCTTTATCGTCAAATTGCAATGCATATTCCCTGGCTGAAGACTCAACAGTGACCGCAATGAAGTTGTTCTGACAAGATATATCCGTGGCGCAGATGAGATACAAAGCTGTGACACATTCCACCAAACTGTTGAATTAAAATAGGCTCTCACCAAATTGGGTATTCACGTCAACTAAGCGTTATTTTGATACACAAACTATTTATAAGTGAAGAGCAATTTTTACCTATCAACGGGTCTTCTTTTTTTCTAGTGCTACCTTTTCGGACTCGCGTGTAAAGATGTTCGTGGAAGGTTACATTAATTTCCTTTCATTTATTCCTACCTTTCACTCTATCTTCAAGCTCATATTATCAGTTTAAAGCTCATTATCAGCTTCAAGCTCATATTCATCGCTAATATTATCATCATCATCATGATCATCAAATTGTAATGCACTTCCCGAGGGAGGAGACCTAACAACGTTCGCGATAAGGTTGATCTGATGGGGGAAGTCCATCCATTGTGCCGACCCTTCGCTATTTCAAGTCATAATAATAAATAAAGTAAGCAGTTTGTGTAAATGACTGGCTTATGTCAACGAGATTCTTCCGTGTTGTCACGCAGCTCATAAATATGTTTCTTCTATCGTTTATAACGGCTCTGTACTTGTAGACGTCCGGTATATTTAGAAGTTCAGAGAATGATCATTCAATTTTCCTACTCACACACTGACCATGTTTACCTTCATTGATTCTCTTATCGACTAACATGCAATATTTGTTTTCTCAATTGGCCATCTTTTTCATACCTATCATTACACTATTTATGCTATTTTTATAGTATTTTGCATTTGCTTGTCTTGCAAAAACTAGTTGTGCGATGGAAGAGTAATATTAATGATACTTAATTGTAGAGTACAGAATTGCAGTATCCTGAATCCAACACAAATATATGAGGAATAGTCATATTTTGGGAATGACTCCAGATATAAGATTCCTCTTACAATTCTCCCTTCCCGAACGATAATTTTGAAGTTTCTGATGATTGGTGCCGGGAATGTTATCATTGCCGCTGATGTTTGAGTGCAGCAGACGGAAACCAAATACGCGTGGGGGATGAGGCTGAGCGAGGAGGCGCCGTGTCGTTGTTAAACGAGGCCGGGGGGCTGCAAATAAAGGGGGTGTGCGCAGGGGACAGTTTGAGTCAGAGGCCGCGCCGCGCCGCGCCGCGCCGCCTGCAGCAGCAGCATCGCGGGTCCTCGCCGCCCGCGAGAGCGTATTGTGACACATAAGCCAATTCCCGGGACTCGGCGGCGGATGATGGCGGCGTAATTCTGTTTTCATGGAGCGCGTGCGTGGATTACGAGGCCGGGCGGTCGTCGGCCCACTGCGCCCCTCCGGAAACGGAGCTCCGGGGATGATGGGATGTACATCTGCTGGGTGAGTAATTCGGCGTTTGGGAATTTGTTGGGCCTGTTTCGTACGTTGCAAAATCGAGGACTGTCCGCGTTGCTTTTCTCATTCTCTCGTTTTGATAGATGGAAAAATTTTCGATTTAGTTATGACTTTTTTTGGGGTGTGCATTAAATACACTGTCGCTGAATGTATTTTCTTGTATGTCGATAGACAAGATGGAAAAGGAATGGTAAGTTTATGTATTTCGTTGTTAGTCTTATTGAATGTATTCTTTAACTAGTTTAACCAAGCAGTTTCTATTACTCTGGGGGAATATTTTAAAAGTTGTCGTAAACCCTCGTGTCTCTCTTTTACCCATAATTCAACTGTACATGATAAAAAAGGGAGGGTATAGATTCTAATAGAGCTACGCTTTCATGAGCGAGAATATATTGAAGGCAAATTCAGTAAGTGAAAGAAAAAAGTGCATTAAGTAAATTTTATTTTAGAAAAAATCGCAATATTGATTCGGAATGAATTTCATTCATCTAAACGATAATATCTAAAACTGATAGAAGAGGCGACGTTTCGTTGCAGCTTCTACTAATTGCTCTGCCAACCTTTTCTTCAAGTATTTAGCCGCCTCAACAACAGTAAGATGGGTTTCGAAAATGCTGGTTGTACTAAATCAGGTGCATAACTGATTACTAAAATGGCTGATATCTCCATATCTATTACTATACTAATTTAAAGGTCTTAAAGTACATTTCGAAAATATTATTTTATCTACTATTTTAGGAAAAAAGCCTATTAAAAAAATAATTTTATTCAGTTGTATACCAACTTATATTCATGTTTTGTGAGCAACTTGGATGCTTTTTTGACATATTCTCTGCAACATACTTCCATTTCCAATGTACATTGAGATCATTTATTAGTGAATGTAAGTATAATAAGTGGAAAATTATCCTGAAATCTTTCTGATGAATATTGCTTAAGTACTAATGCAACGCTTCTGCCTTTTACTTCTTCACGAGGCGAAAAGCCACAATTTCTTCTCGAAAGAGGCAAAGCGAAGCCGTCCGAGCCAGTGCTCTGACGAATGAAATTAGTCCAGAACGAGCGAGCGCAGGAGATTGGAACTTACCGGCGCTCGAGGGTGACGCTCGAGATTGTACCGGGGACCAAATGGAGCGCCTTGAAGCACTTTCGGTTACACTGAACACTGAATGTTCGTAATTGACAATTACATACGGTCAGTTATCTCAACGCTCTATTTGAAGGTCTACTGCCACAAATTTGTGATTTAGGTATGACTGTTTTTTGTGTATTAAATACACTGTCGCTAAAAGTATTTTCTTTCATGTCGATAGTCAAAAGTTTCCTTGTATAAACCTTGATGCAATTTTCTATCTATTTCGTTTTTTAGTTGATACAAGTTACGTTGATTTTCGTTTCTCGTTGAGTTACGTCTTTCATAATCAAATTATGTATTCTTCCTTCGTTGTGATCATTACAGTTCATACAACGGAAGATGTGAAACGAATTATTCAGGAGTTTTTGAAAATGATTCTGGATAGTGTTGCCTACAATTTACTTTCTTTTGAAAATATAAAATATAAATTCAATCAACTGTAACAGAAGTACTCTCTAGTTTGTTCAAATCAACATTTTGCAGTAGATTTCCGAGAATATGTTCGCATTTGAAGCATTCTGAAACAATTAATGAATAACCTTCAGAACTATTTGTCCTCCTGATCACTACCAGGTGAAATTAATATCCAGAAACAAATTTCCTTCTTGGGATGTCTCACTGAAATGCTGTAAAGAAATGGAGAATATCTAAGAACACTCTAGAATATTGATTGCTTAATTCATTCGGTCAAGGTTGAGTAACATGAGTATATTACTGCGGCAATAGTTACAATGCAATGAATACTCGTACTCTATCTTACCAATTTTACGTGGAAACCCTAAAAATAATTAGTCGGTGGCCAACAGACAAAACGTTATTGTAATTCATATTCGTTAGTTGTGATAAAATCATCTACCAGCCATCATCTGATTCGCAACATTTTAAGCCAAAACTTGCCAATTACTTCAATATGTAACTTACTTCAAGACTTTCGAAGATAACTTTGCAAAGACCAACCGACCTCTGCAGAGACCGTCAACTTTATCAAGAATTTATTGAGTTATATAATAGAGAAGATTGTGTTGAGGATTCATTGTGCTGAAATCTAACTGAACTGACAATTACAATTATTCTTTTGTTAATATTGATCAAAATAACATAATTTGTTATTCCATCGTGCTTTATTTTATAAGACTATCTTATTAATAACAGTTATCATCTACATACTTTAATCTGAAAAGAAAAAAATGCTTCTGAATGATTTGATTTAAGTAATAGTAATTTAAAAATAGTATATCTCCAAATAAATCGTCAGTTTGAATCGTAAAAACACGTATCCTCTTCTATTTAAATACTATTTCAGCATTCAATCGGTGTCAAATTTAATTACATTTCAGTGTTTCAAAGTTTAATCTCTTTCGGTAAGCAACGTAGAGAGGTCGACTCTTTTGCAGACATAAGTAATCATCCCGATACAAATTAAGAAAAACCTGACGTACATAACAGAAAAAGCATTAAAAACTGGAATTTATTCTCCCAGACGATTATGTGGTTTCACTGTGAATTCTGCGGTGTAACTGGTCCTGATTCCTGCCCGCCCGGTAGGGAGACTGATTCCGCGAAGGCCCGCCCATGGGGCGCTGCGGCGCCCGGTGTCGTGTTCCTAGCCGCAGAGAGTAACGCAACCTGAGCGGCCGGCAACATTTACTATCCTCTCACCCGATAGTTCTGTCAGATAGTACATAGGAGTTCCGGAGAAATTATAACAATGGAAGGCATTTCTTAGCATTTCGAGTACATTACTACTAATTCTGGGAAGGTTGGTGGTTTCGAGCACAGAATACCGTACAGTTCGCACTCCTGATATCAAATCATTGTCTGTAGGTATCAAATGACGGATTTGGGGTGGGGAGGGGTCGCAAAGGAATGCTCTACTCTCATTGTCGTGGAACTCTAGATCAATGTAGAGTTCCAAGATAAGCAGAATAGTGTAATGCCTTTCGCTGTAGGTGTCGTGCTACTAGCAGCGATTGCAGGCAATTACAAATGCTTCCAGTATAGGATGCAAAAAAGTTGAGTTCGCAGGGAAGCTAAGTTCCCTGGAGGAGCGTGGTGGTAAGCGAGGTTTCAAGTACAGAGACCAAGTTCGATGAAGTATGAAAGTTTAATTAAAAAATAGAGCTGCAGAGCAGCGTGAAGTTTACACAGCAAAGTCTCTGGGCTGTCTGCCCGATATCAACGCTAGAGGATCCTTATATGGAAAACAGGGAGATTTACGAGGCCATTACGCCACCCCCGCCAGAACTCGGCATGCCCTGGACGCAATAAACTGACATAACTGTCAGAGGACTTTTGCCCTTTTGAAAACTCACAAGATCCCAAACATTCCTGTTTCCACGTCTGGATCGTGTTAGCGTTGATGGCGGTTTGGGGTGCCCAATCACCCATGACCTCAGGCAGGGCGCCTGCTCCAGACACGACCTTAATTTAAACATGTTTGAAGGGTGATATTTCTTTCACGTACAGTTTGAAAGAAATATTCATTGCTCTTCTTAAGCAATGCGTACTTCATATGTACGTAGGTGCATTTACCATTACAATAGCGCTTTCCTTTGTGACGCCGGATCCACCCCGGTGACGGGCCCGTTGATATCCAGTTGTCACGGAGGTACAATCCGTGTGTGTTGCGAACCACTAGTCTACGGAAATCTAATATTAATATTTTTTAATTTTAATTTATTTTCTTTTAGATTGAATAATACAAAGAACAGTGTTAAAACACTCTACATTTGTTATAGTTGCTTAAATTTACTTATAATTAGTTTACAATAAACGTACTTCTTAAGATACAACTTACATTACTATGAGGATAGTAGAGGTATCTTCATATGATAACTCTACATTGGATCGAGATCTGAGAATTTGTTGAGGAATGTATGAAACGGAAATTTGTCCTTGATGTACGTCCTCTGGATAGGGTTTTGGTAGAGTTGTAGAACGGGTTATATTTGGAATGTTTTGGAAGTTGTGGATGGATGAAAAATAATGTGGTTGGTTATCGGCTCTAACTGGTATTCTTTATTAAGTTTTGAATTGGAAATGAACCATGGGGAATTCGTGATGGTGCGGAGGAACTGATTTTGGACTATCTGGCTGCGCTGACCTATTCTGGGCATGAATATAAATATGGTGGTCGAATGTTAGTTTTATAAATCAGTAAGGTGCTATTGTACGGTAATTAAGCAGATCTATTTTTTTTTTTGTAGTCGGCGTAGTTTAATTTTTGCTTGTATAATTTTGTTGTCGATGTGATTTTTCCAACAGAGTCGAGTATCTAAATAAAGGCCTGGGTATTTTGTGGGTTTGTTATGAGGGTTCCATTGTAGAGGTTCTTGGTTCAATTGTAACGGGGGGAGGGATGTAAGGTCTAAAGGAAATTATTTTGGCTGCAGTAGTTGATCAGTTGATTTTAATTTTGTTTTGGCTGCTCAGCTGTCGATTTGGTGTAGGTAAAACTGCAGATTGGTTTTTATTCTGTTTATGGTGGGACCTGAAGAATATATAACCACCGTTTCCCCTGCAAATTGGGCGGTTTTTATATTGCTACGTTTTGGTAGGTGGGCTACCTACAAGTAATAAGGGTCGTGAGATAACGGTAAGCCTTGGGGAAGGCCTACCTTGACTGCTTTTGGATGAGAATGATAGTTATCAACTGCAACAGCAAAACTTCTATTGTTGAGGAAGCTGGAAATGATTTGAGTAAGATAATGTGGAGTGGTTATATTTTGTAGTTTAAAGCTTGGTGTTATGTTCTATGAAAGGCCTGAGAAATGTCGAGAAATAATGTATTTGTGTGATAGTGTTTATGAAATGCCGTATGGGTGTTTTCAGTAATTCTGAGTAGTTGATGATGCTTGGACATTTTTTCAGTGAATCCCATTTGTTCCATGAGTATAGCCTTTGTGTTATGGAGTTGTGCTTTAAATCGTTTCAATATAAATTTTATAGTAGTTTAGATAGCGTGGGAAGCCAATTGATTGGACAGTAACTATTGGTTAGCGATGCATTCTTGTTTGGTTTTTGTACAGGAAGAATGATTGCATGTTTCCATACTTGCGGAAAGTAACCTAGTCTTAGGCATGAGTTGAAGATATTAGTTAGATAATGACTGTTTGGGGAAGGCTTTTTAATATTGTTAATTTTATCATGTCTACGGGCTTTCTTGACAGGTAGTGATTTGATGATTTTATTTATTTCTTTAGTTGATGTGAAGTGTATTATGAGAAATATGGAGATATAAAGAGAAGAAAGTGATGAAAGAGATAAAAGGAAGAATTTGAAAGCAGAAAAATATGAAATAGAAGAATAAGAAGAAAGTGGGAAAAGAAGAAATAAGAGACAGAAGAAAGAGACGAAAAAGAAGAAAGAGAAGAAAAAGAAAAAAAATAGACGAAAAAGAAGAATGAGAAGAAAAAGAAGAAAGAGACGAAAAAGAAGAAAGAGAAGAAAAAGAAAAAAAAGACGGAAAAGAAGAAAGCTAAGGAAAAGGAGAAAGAGAAGAAGAAGAAGAAGAAGAAGAAGAAGAAGAAGAAGAAGAACCACGTGTCGCTCACGTGCAGCTACTCTTAAGGCTTGATGGTTAGAGCGCACCGCGGAGGCGCGGAGCGGCTGATGAGGCGGGCGCGCCCGCGCCGCCAGCGGATTCCTGCGGGGCGCTTCACCACAGCCCATTACCCGCCGCGCGCTCGCCGCCCCGCGGCCACGCACGGGCTCCAGGCCGCCATTGCACACGCCACCACCTCTGCCAACGACATCATCACCTATTGACGCCATCGCCACTGGTCGACACGGCAGCTGCCGACGGCAACGCCACCACCGCTGCCAGCAGCAACTACAATCGCCAACGCCACTACCACCACCTCATCCAATCACCATCCACAACCCAACCTTCACGATATTTAGTCCTGTGCTCCTCGACTTTCCTTTGTGATTAGCAACCGTTATCATCAATTTACAATGTTATAGGAAACATTTAAATCGTTCCTACTATAATCATTTTCTCTTCGATTGTTACTGCAACATGTGCAACCAACGTACGAACCGTTCTTGACTAGGAAGTGGAGTCGACGGATCCGTAAAATATTGCTCTTTGTCAAATTTCTTTCATTAATTTTCCTCGTGGGTCTCTGCCGCTATTGTGATTGTCCCTTAATCATTTCTGCGTGAATATTATCTCACCTCTGCCAATTGAAATACGTGAATTTGTTGACAGAACTAAAACTCCACTTTCCTGTACAATTGTTAAACAAATGCTGGTTCAGCCGATGGCTACCTACGTGTTAGGGGCCACAATCTCGAGAAAAGTGATAAGAAATTACCATTGTTCAAAGGATTTAAAAAGTTTATTTTAATTTAGTGCTATCTACAACAGTTAAATACTTTCCACTCAGGATTGATCAAACCTATCATTTATTTACATTTATTACTTTTATTTCACATTAGACATTCTTTATATTGAATATATTTATTACCATTACCTTTTTCCACTGTCAGTTTTGGCTGACAACTCCTTGAAATGTGACTGGCGTTCGACTTTAGTTAAGAGAGATTGCGAAGGTTAAGATAATATTATACATCTGCTAGTTCAGATCGATGCTTAGAATACTTCAACGAATGTCTAAGCTAGATAAAAATATCTGATGCTTATGTTCTGCGGAAATACCACTCTACTACACCAGAACTATATAATTTTCAGATTAACCGCCTTTCTAAGATCCACAGAAGAATGCTTGAAGAGCTGCATGCAGCTTACGAGTTACCGTGGGACCAACGTTGCTATACGAGATGCGGCGTATTTGGCCTTTGTCGTCCCCACCGAAATCACGAAGTGAAAGCCCTAGTGCTTAGTGCAAGAAATGAAGCACAAGTACTGGCTTAGGTGGCTCAATACATCAACTCATGTCACTGTAGTACCTCCGACCTGGAGGTTCTAGGGATGGAGTCCCGACGGAGGCACTAATTTGCGACTCTAGCTAGCGAGCTGGGTCGAGTTCAGCCGTTGCTGCGTAGCGAAGAGAATTTCTCTGAACGTAGGTTTTCCGTTGTTTATCCTATCAACACCTGACGAATGCCGGAACAGTACCCTATCAAACAGATCACGGACCATTCGCTATCTTTCCTTTCTCTTCCTTGCCCTATCCTCACATCTTATCCCTTTCACTACACTACCTCACATGTCGGAAGCCCATTCCAATACGTAGAGCTTTTCCCGGCTGTGGCGATATGGGAGATACTTGGGGAAAACCGCAAGCTGCCTTATAGTTTGGTGCCGGGTCCTGCCATCCAGCGGATATAGAACACCACCGCCTACCATGATAAAAGCATGGATGCTTTGGTTGATTAATTGCAGGTTCGAGAAAAAGTTATTGGCAAGATAGGCAATATGGTGAGAAATTGATTTCATGCTTAATTCGGTGTGAAGTTGCGTGTTGGAGATGTACCAGGGAGCTTGGGTGATGGATCGTAAGAATTTGTTTTGCTGACTTGCAATTTTTGAATGTTATATTTGGCAGCATTTGTCCATATTGGGCAGAAGTACAGGAGGGAGGGTCTGATGATTGATTTATTTCAGGTTGTGGCATTGTTTAAAGACAGTTTAGTAATTTTATTTATGAGTGGTTGCAGTTGAAGAATTTTAATTTTGACTTGTTGGACTTTGTTGTCAGGGCACAGATGCCGACGTTTCGGTCGCCATTCTGCGACCTCCATCAGGGCTTAGTTATGGCCGATTGCAACGAACTAGTCTAAGAAAACTAGTGTTGACAATATTGCGTACACAGCTTTTATGCCCTTTTATTTAAAATCTCGAATTCATTGGGGTGGTTTAAATTGAAAGTCTAGCAAATATTTGGTCAGTTGCTGCCAAAAAATATTATACTAACATGTTGGGACTATTGAAATAGAGATAATTCACGCAAACATTAACATTTGCATTAAACTGACGTTTGGTTTAAACAGGATAACTCCGAATCGGAAAAATCTTCAAAGAAGTAAATTACAGCTGCCACGCACTGAGAAGCCGTCACAGGAACAACGAGTGGAGTATCGTCAGTCAAAAGGAAATAAATCTAATTCTGTAGGGCTTACTACGTTCTCCAAAGACTGTAAATTATAAAAATTTCTGAGAAGTTGTGTTCAGATTCTCCGACCAGGAGTCAGAATGGGAAAGGGCCCCACACTCTGGGTCGGCTTGGGCGTGTAGACGGAATTAATTCCAATTGTCGTTAGCTAAAGCCAGATCGTTAATAAAATTTCTTGGCCTCCTGTTACACGTAACTTTAATGACAAAAGGTTATTAAAACATTGTATACTATAACCGTATCTCATTCTCTTCTATTTTGAAGATTATAATTTAGGAATGGGTGCAGGAGAATGCTAATTTGTTTGAGAGAAAATTTGAACTTCTACAACTGTATTCTTCAATTGTAATTTCAAGATAACAGATCATAATCTTGATTTTAAGAGTGTCAATAAGCAATCTGAACACTTTAATAACTGAAAAAAATTAAATCATAAATAAAATAATTTCAGTAGGGTTTTTTTTTTTTGAGTTAATAAAATAGATCTGACTTACGGATGTATGTACCATTAATTCGTATAGTTTTTTTTTCTGCTGTCACTGACATATGAAGAAGCGTGTGATTAAATACATATGGTCTGGTGGTCTGGTATGGTATAGATATGATATGGTATAGATGATTAACAAACTCCAATAAAGAAAGAGATCGCAATTCTTTTGAATGTTGGGCTCTTATAACCAATAGGCAAACATACGTTCGACTTCTGTTTATAAATCCTGTTCCCTCATTATTTAGTGAGCATTTAAATTGAAAGTCTTGCAAATATTTGGTCAGTTGTTGCCAAAACATATTATTCCAACATATTGGGACTATTGAAATAGTGATAATTCACGCGAACATTAACATTTACATTAAACTGACGTTTGATTTAAACATGATAACTCCTAGTCAGTGTCTTTACACAAATCATTCTGTATAGAAAATGCTTGGTCAATTAATGACAATTGCGCATGTCACATTCTTACCAAATATAAAAAAATAATAAACCACTGAACCGATCAGAGCAGCTGGCCTTTTGAAGTCTCCTCCATACACCGACTGAATTCGACCTAGCCCTGTAGCAAGTATTTAAAATCCTGTGAAACCTTAGGGCCTTCCGGTCCTAAGCACCACTGTCATCAGTTGATGCCCTAAGCCACCACTCCCGTTGATTTATTCGAAAACTTTATCTAATACGTTTTGTTAAATGATTATTTAAGGTCGCTTCATCTTCTAGGCCATTAGCGACCACTATTGCGTGTATCGGTATAGCAACTATGAAGATGACACGATATGATGGTGATGTGTGAAAGGACGAGCACAATACAACCATGCCCGAGACGCAAGGCGAACCCGTGATCCTTCGGTCCGAGATCGCTCCGAGGCACAACTGCCTTAGCGATCTTGGCCATCCGGTCCGGCTAATAAAGTTTGTTTTACTCTTCTCAAACGAAGTTCTCTAGTTTATTTTACATCTCCACATAGATTTAAGAATAGTATATTTAAACTAACTTTCTAATTAAATTGCTAAGAGGACATCCCAATTTACCCCCCGAATATCGTCCAATCAGCGGCGGTGGCTCGTGGAGTGCGGCGGGCGCTGGCGTGCGGTGTGCCGAGAGGCGCCGACGCGCTGACGCTGACCTCTTCATCGGCGGCGACGCCCCGCAAAAACGCGCGCTTAATCCGCGGACGCGTTTTTCCGCCTGCGCCTCCGCCATCAGCATAAACGCCTGTAATCGGGGCGCCTCCGCGTCGCGCGCAGATCCATCAACGTCTGGCGGGCGGGGCCCGACCCGCCCCCCTCGTCGCTCTGGACCGGCAGGCGGAGGGGGAAGTGGCGGCGGCGGGGGGCAGTGGCCGAAAACGCTGGTCTCGTTGGGATTAAGTGTTCTGGGTCAAGGTATGCCTCGGTGAAAGATCAGTGCTGGTTAATGCTTCACGGATCCTGAACCACGACTAAACGTAGGGGGTTGTCTTTAAATTACGTAACGCTGAAGAAGGGCTAGGGATTTTAGGCAGCGTTACCAGTAGCGTAACGAAATGAATGAGGGCCCGCCCGCAAAACATTTATCCGGGCCCGCTTTACAACAGTGTAAAGCTAAAACAAGTAGTGTTACTACTTAAAACAATAAAAATATCCCCAAAAAACGGGACCTCTTTTACCTCGGCACACCCGCATTGCGGGCCCAACGTTACGCCACTGTGCGTTACGTTGGTCAAACTTTGGTAAAGTGGAATTTAATTTCGATCTTGAATCATGGAAGGAAGGCAGAGTAGTTCATTCCCAAAGTGTCTCTCTATGCGGCTGCCTGATAATCGTCCCGAGCTACTGTATAAGAGCCGGAAGAGTTGGCGGAAGATATGTGCCCTTAATGACCGTTTAAGCGCATGTGAGACGCACAAGAAGGAAGGCACCACGCGTGTGCAGTCTACAGAAACTATTGCTATTCAAAAAACATCGGGTACCTGGATGCCACTTAGGGATTGTAATCGCCCAGAAATGTGTTTTGGCTGCGTTAATAAATCGTTTCATTAGTAAATCACCCTTCTCGAATAGTCTCGACTGCGTTTTGTTGGGTGCGTGTGGGCGTGCGTACGTCTAGGATGCCTGTCGAAAATCTAGGAAATCGATGTTTTTGAGACGGCATTCAGTGTAGCCGTCTCCCTCCTCTGTGACTTCAGCCGCGTGCACAGATTCCTCGCACGAAGCCTCCAACGTACACCGCCTCAACGAGATCGGATGACGTCGGAACTGCTGCGTTAGGCCAGTCTGAGTCGTCGACGGCGAGGGCAGCGACGTCTTCGTCATCGTTAACACCGTCGCGGCGGCGACAACGAAGAATCCTGCCCGGCCGGCTGCGGCCGGGTGAACCGGAGCGGGAGCGGGAAAGAGTGCAACGAGAGCGCACGCGGACAGACTGCGCTGATTCCTTCCCCCCTCCCCCCTCTCTCGGCTGTTCGCCCGGTCGCCGCCCTCGACGCCCCACAAGAACATGAAGCAGCTTCTCAGAAGACACGTTACGCATACGCCATCTATTTTCGGATCGTGAGTGCAGCTTTTTTGCACGAAGGAGGGATCCCGCACGATTTGTGGTGTGAAAAAAAAAGCCACTTTCTCGCCCTAGTTTGTTGAAATCGAGACTGGTCTACTCGCAAATAGTTGTCCTTGTAATATGAGTTTAATTAATTATGTGATGAATATAATTAATGCTATTATTATTTCTTTAATTGTTTCTCTGTTGCAGGATATACGCTTCTAGACCACATAAGTAGCGAAGACATCAGAAGCGAACTGAAAATTTTTCTATCTCAATACGCGAATCTTAAGTACGGAGAGAGAAGTGGTTCCATTGTAGCCAACGAATGGTTGGTACAAGACTACCAAATACGCTCCTCTACTACGCTCCCGAAGGAACTCGAGATCCAGATATTGACTTAACGGGCCTTTTCGGGTTGTACATTTTTGACTTACAAAATAGTTATCCCACACACAAAGAAAACGTAAATAATGAATTACGCATTTACAGGGAAAATACATTTATATTTCATTACTCTTCATTCAGAAATAGATTTATTTTCAAAAATATTGTCAATCAGTGGTATCTTTGCTTTTGTCTTTAATCCTGGGTTACTTCTCAATAACAATAACTGCCAAGATAATTTAATGAGCCAAATTTGAAGAATCTTCCTCAAACAGTTTAATTACGTGCATTGTTCGGTACAAAGTCTGTACATTGTTCGTCCTATTTTCCCAAACATCAGTGGCTACAGGTATTTTTTTATTTGACTTTACAATAATAATTACTAAACTTTAAAAATAATAATTAAAAGCATCCCCAAATTATAGTTTAAAATCAAATTATTGAATCTATAATTAGTAAGAAACGACAAAAAACATCCATGTAACGTGGTCATGGTTTGCCAACTCTGAGAAAATTTGAAAAGAGAATTCTTGAGTATTGTTTTGAAATTCTGTTCGAAAACTGTTGGCTTATAGCTTTTGATGATAGTAATAACGTCCTGAAACATGTGTGTATATAGTGAACGATTAGAACTGATTTAGAAATATTTCTTGTGTTACATTATGTCAATGAAATATCACAATTTTTTGCTACCTCAACTGGGGGAAGGTCTCTACTACCTCTACTGGGACTCTCCCGTACAGGGGATAATTGTTTGATTGATTAATTGTGATTCTACTAAGTAAGAGAGTAAACTACTCAGGTTATTAGTCCCGAAAGTGTAGTACATGTTTTTATCGATAGGTAGTTTCCCCCGCTCGTACAGAGCTATGAAGACAACCACAACTGGAGACCGAGAAGATGAAATGACAGGTGATGTGAATAATGAACATGAAGGTGGAGTAGGTAATGAAACGAGAGAGAGAGAGAGAGAGAGAGAGAGAGAGAGAGAGAGAGAGAGAGAGAGAGAGAGAGAGACGGGAAATGGGAGTACCCCCAGAAAACCTGTCGCGAACCCGTTTGGACCAACACAAATCCCAAATTGGCGGGCCGGGAGTTGATCTCCTGTTCCAGTAGTGAAACGAAAAGATGGAGTGCAAAGATTTCAGAGAGTTGACGTGTAACATTTTTCTATACCTTTTAAGTTTCTTTAATTATCATGAAGTTTCTCTTCATTACCAGCCTCCGTCCCAAGTACACCGCATTTTAGAAACTCGTAGGAATTCATGTTGCAGACATTTTTTGAGACGTGTAATGGAATCTTTTGCTTTCCCAACTTTTTCAACGACCGATTTCAATTCCACGTTACGTTGAAAACAGTCTTCGATCACTTTTAAAACTGATCAAATGTATTTTGTATTGAATGTATTTCAGAATATCGTCAATATTGACGAATAAACTAACGACAGACGAAACTAACTGATCAATACAGTATAGTGTATCATTTTTAATTTGCAGCATTGAATCATATTTAAAACAATATATTTTCTAAAGATAACGAGTGATGTGTAGGAGTACCTTTTAAAGTCAGTTGATAAATTGTTTCACTGTGTTAGAAAATAAGAGAACAAACTGATTCATTGTTTACGATCTATTGAATGACGAATCTTTTTAAACTCGGAAGAAATGGTTTTGGTAGAATATTTTTGAATTACAATTTTCTAAGTCTTCTCTGTAATTGAACGATAACGGACAAGTTTCTAATTTGCGTTCATATTCGATGAAAATTATTAGTTTCTGTAAATGATTTCCGTAATGATTGCAACCGACTTTTTATCCTACATTAAGGAAAGTACAGGCATAATAAAAATACAGGCGCAAATGAAACCCGTAACTACGTTGCCCAGCAACTCATATCAGCGTCGTGAATTCTCCAAAGCAGTAAGTCCTATTTTTTTGACGCTAAATATTTAAATCCCATTTTAATAAACTGTTCAAACTCAGCCTTTTTAACAGGCCTTTTTAAGTTTAATTCAACATTTACATACTTCTTTTTGTTCTGGTTTTGTTCTAATATCTATGCGTATATTCGATTTCATATATCTTCAATATATCTTTGTAATAATATACCTAAATACTGTGGAATCTATAGATTGTTGCTTTAATGTGTATAATAACGAAAGAAACATTATATCTTTTGTATCTCTAAATATAGGATCATGATACTAAGTTTGAATTAGTAATGAATTAATATTGTGACTAATAACTTCTAATAACACTAATAACTTCTGTTGTTGATGCTATTTAAAATAGCAAAAAATATATTCTTGAACTTGTTGATACATTTTGAGTGTAGACCATGGGGTGAGAAACTTGCAACGTTTGTTAAAAGTAATATTTTGTAATATGCGGAGTTTAATCTCAGAGATTATGTTAAGGGTTCAAGTCTTTATCTTTGTAATAAAAGCTTAGTAATATTACATTTACCCACGTAGACAGAGAATATTTTCATTTCTGGAGCTGGTGCCTTAATTCAGGTGTTGGCTATTCGAAGTTCGATTTCAGTGAAGTATTCCCTTTTAAATCAATTGTGTATCTCCAGAATGTTCGAACGCACATTTAAATTACCCTGAGCTTATTAGTCTAAGCTAATATAATTCAATTCTCCTGATTTCATATACATTATCCAACAAGCACCTACACTCAAGCGTAACCATTAATTTGGGTCAAAAAACCATTTTATTCCTAGTTAATGAAGATAAACGGTCCTTAGCAAATACATAATTTATGGTGACATTCACGTACGTTCTGCGTGGTTAGGTATATGTTTACACTCTGTTTCGAAAGGTATCAGTTTGTATCAGTCTCATTTATATGTAGCCTCACCATCCTTGGAGAATCGAAACACGCAAAAAGATAAAAACGAACACAGTAAAATGTTTATACTCGGAAAACATTCAGTGTCATCAAATCGACATCCGTCAAACTTTTTCAGTGAGCGATATAAACGATGTAACGCAATCTGAATATCGACATCTGCGAGCAAAATTTCCAAACGAAGAGAGACATTTTATTTATTTTGTTTAACACATTTGTAGATTTTATCGTGTCGTTTACATATTTGCTCCGAAGCGTCGCTGTTGGGGGAAGTGCGGACGCCATTCAAACGCAACTCCCGTTCCGGTTTTATCGATATCAAAAACGAAATTTCCGTAAATCCAGAGCTGATATGAGCGTAATACCCATGAAGGGACATTCTTTCTATGTGAAACCAATACGTGATATACATGTGCACATTATGCAAAATACTTAAAAAATATAGTTTGTGTGCTTTATTCTAGTTTATAATTTTAAAATTTTCAATTTTTTGGTTTTGTTTGTATTAATGTATGTTGTCCAAATGTTCATTGTTTGCACTTTAGCCCCGATGAAGAAATTAAATATTTCGAAACGTTGGCGTAACTAATTGTTTTTCTAACCACATTTCCACATTTTAAACATTTATTTTACTGAAATGAAAATACTCTCCATAATTTCTCGAAATTGATCAGGGAATATTCTCATGTATATTCCTTGATCAGTTACACAATCGACTACACAACGAAATCTCACCCAAACACCGAAAATACGGAGCTCTGTAGGTGAATATAAAGAGATGTTTCACTCTCGTCTCCGATCAGCACTCGTTTCTTGGGTAATTCCATCATACCCGGTGCTGTTGCCCTGCTGATTGCTTGAGGCTTCTGGCGGCGGCGGTCGCCTATAGCGCCAAGTGTCGCCTATAGCGTCTAGCGCCTTATTTAATACTTTGGCGATCAGTTTTAGATCAGTTCAGTTTTAAACGCCAGGAAGAACTTTTTATGTCTAGTTTTTTAAAAGCCTGGATTAATAAATTTGCAACATATTTTAAGCGCCTAAAACATCACTTTTTATGCCTAAATGAGCCTAATTTTGTTACCTGTTATATGTGCCTCAATCATCACTTTCTTTTGCCTAAAATTCCGAGGACTAAGGCGCGCTCGCGGAACGGCTCCGCTGCTGCTGTCGCCGCCTCTGGAAGATCACCTGGTCCACGGATGATACACACAGGGGAAAGAGGCCGACGTCTCTAAAAGTCGACTCCCGTACATATTCCCATCTGATGTATCACCTTTCTCTCTTGCTCTCACTCTCCCTCTCTTCCCTCCTTTAACTATTAATAAAAAGGTACGTTAAATCTGAACGTGATCTATAGATTTAGATTTGGATTCATATTTATTTAGTAAAAAACCATTAAAATCTGTATGTGACGTATGGGGGAAAATATATCTTTTTTGAGTAATCTGCCTACTCCCTTTCCTTCAATCTTTTGAGCTCCTAATTCACTACAGTACTCTAATTGAGCCTTAGGTATAAGCTGAAGTTAGTCAGCTCCGAGGGTAGCGCGTGACGTATGGAATCATTAGAGACGCTGTCATGTTGCAGGGTGCACGTGCACAAAAGAATTTCATTTACGATGAAACAATTATAAACAATCTAAAAGAGATGTTAGAACAGTTTTCGTACCTAGTTACTTGAAAGGATGTTCGCCTTTGTCTAATTGAGACGTATGAAATATTAAACGTACGTAATACATTCGCATGAGTGGCTTACTTAAGAGTGTATTCTGTTTGACTGAAGAAATCGTGTTCGAAGAGTGAACTAAAACACAAGGGCAGCCGAACTCCCGACAAGGAAGTTGCGAAGTTGTTGAAGGGTGGCGCTTCTCGTATGTCACGGAGCGACGTCGCCCTCGAAGACACTGAGCGAGGGCGATGTGTTTCTGGATCGGTGAACGCGAACCTCCAGCTTTGTCCCCCCTTCCTCCACCTCTACCCCACGGACTCCACCACGCTTCCACCTCGCATCTGGCCCTACCATCCCCGTCCACCACCCTCTACCTCTCCGCTCGTTCACTTCTCGGCAACAGAGGCACTCCACACTTTAACCACCTATCGGCCTGGCTTACCGCCTCGCCCTACTCTCTCACATAACCACATACACATACTCAGTTACATCCACATATCCATTCGCGTGTTCCTCCGAAGTTCTTCGATCGTCTCACATCCATCCAACCGCGAACTATTCTATGGACTCACACCTGTCTCTCCGATTCGCTTTTATGGCATTTCCGGTATCCCGTCTCTCCTATCGCCCTCCTTCAAACTCCTATCCCACGCCTTCCGCCGTGTTCGTTCTCTTCACATACCTCATCCGCTTCATCCTATTCCCTTCTACTTAATTCTCTACCTTACTCTTGTGCCCTCCCGACCCATGGTTATGACCTTTTTTCACCCCGCTTCTCCGACCATCTTCACCTTTTCCCTCCTACCCAGCTTCACTTTCAAGCCTCTGACCCTCTTGTCTTCTTCTCGCGCTTTTCACTGCCATCTCTCCTACCCTGCCTCTTTTCCAATTCCACTCCTTCTCTTTACATTTTCTCGCTGTTTCTTCTCCCATCTCTACCCCACTTCACTCTTTTATCTGCCATTCCCAATCCCACCCTCCGCTTCCTATCCACCCTCCGCTTTGTCTCGTTGATCCACATCTCTTCCCCAATTCTCTCTTCTGCCTCCTTCCTTTGCCTATCTTCCGTTATCTCGGACTTTCACGCTGACACTGCACTCCATTCCAGTTCTTCCTGTCTTTCCGTCGTTCACCGTTCGACCTCAACTCTCCTTCCCTCAATCTCGCTCATGTTTCCTCCCACTCAGTCGCGACCCAGCCCGCAGGTTCTTCCTTTCGTTACTATTCTCTCTCTGTGTTAATATTTATATACTTCCTTCCAATGTCCTTTCCTATCCTCCCCTTCAACCTGCTGCTTCTTCGCCCATGCCTTGTCTCATCTTCACTTCGGCTATTCTCTAAACCTCCCCCCTTTCCGCATCGATCGCACTCCGTCATCCCCAAGTCTCCTCCTCTCATCTGGTTAGTTACCCGCCTCATTCTCACGCCTAGTCTCATCCTCACCTTGCCTGTCCTCTACTCCCCCCCCTGCCACCGCCCTCCATCCTCCCCTTAATTCTCACGCATCCGTCTGGTCAGTTGCCCGCCTCGCCTCTGTTCTCTCCCCTTTGGCCAATCTCCACTCCGATCCCCCCTCTCTCTCTGTCTCGTCCGCCCCTCCTCCGCCCCCAGCGCGTCGGGGGCACTCCCCTGCGATGGAAGAAGCCCCTGCGCGTGGGAGGAAGTCATCGGAGCGCTTCCTTATGAGGCGGCTTCCGACTCGCCGGCGCCGCGCCGCGCCTCACCAAAGGCGGCAGGCCCCGCGCTGCGTCGCCGCGCGCTCACTGGGCCAGGCGACCCAGCCGCTGGCTCGTGAACGCCCTTTACGGAGGTGGTTTATGTACTCCAACGTATATCGCTAATCCACTTACTAGCGTTAGACCCTTGCAATTGCAGTATCTTGCTTCTTACAGTATATTCGCAACGTCTCCTTACCGGCGAGTTCCTTCCTTGCTGGGTGGGTTAGGTGGAACATATTATCTCACGGCGTCCCAGCCCGGGTGGCAGGAGATAATGGGATGATGATAATTATGATGGGAAAAGATTGGTAATGAAATGTCGCCCGTAGCCCTTTGAACGAGGTACTGTTTCTGCATTTACTTGGATGGGATATGAGAAGCCACGGAAATCGCTGATCATAGCAGTGTCACAGTTGGCAAAGGGTTCAAGAACGTCACAAGGGTCACGCAGTATACACGTGCCACTAAGTGCGAAACATCAAAGTCAGAGCCAGTGCACAGGATGAGGTTTTCCGCGCGCCAGGGCGAACAACAGGAAGGGCTGCGGCGGGCCAGCCCTGCCACGAGCGGGTTTGGGTCTACCCAGGCCGACCAGAGTAAACAGCTCCCGGATCGGCGTTCATCAGCCACCAATAAACCCCGGACCCCCACTCGAAACGCCCTCTTCACTTCTGTTTCATTGTGTTAGCTTGGCATTGCTCAGTGCTCAATTTGCTATACTCGGTAGAGTGGGAAATGTTTATTTTTTTTAATTTTACACGGACCATGAGCCCCGTTTTTTTTAAATTTACAGTGTAATAGGAATTAACTTAACATAAAAAGATTTATCGGCTGGTCAGAAGGCAGCGTGCCGTAGTGCTGTCGGACCAGAAGATCGCGGGTACGACTCCCGCCTCGGGCGTGAGTGTATTGTGGGTGTGTAAATGGGTGCCCTCCTCTCACCCCTCATAATCATTATTTCATCTTCCATTGCCCCAGGTCCAACAACCCTAAGGCGTAAAAATTTACTCAGCAGAAATGCTAAGTCCCCCTATAATTTTGTGCATACCCTCAGGAAAAAATATGACTGAGCCTTGGTAGGTAACTGCACAATCACGTGGGCTACAGAAAGGCAAATTCGAATAAAAAAGACCCAGACAACCCTTGAGTTGTACATCCTCTCACTTAGCTAATTACCTTTAATCTGTAGTGAAGCCCCTTAACTTCCATGTAATCAGTCTATGAATTCAATTCCGACAGGTGTCACAATTTCGATGAGGTACACATCTAGTAAATTTCTGACACATTGCCCGATACAGTCCAAATTGTCCGCTGTACTAAGAATGTTAACATCAGTGTAAGTGAATTATTAATGTCTAGTGATTAAAGATGTGGGTTTAAAATAGAAATTTCATCTTCCCATTGATGAAATGAAAGTTCTGTGTCACATCTCTCTGGCTAATGCCGGAGCTGTGCCCAAACAAACGGGCCAAGGAACGCGCGCTACCTGTCCTTCCTTTTCGTATCCTCACTCCTTATTCACACTCACACTTAAACGTACATGCGCTACACTACCAAGCGTGTCAGAAAACAGAGGGGAGGTTAGAGTTTGTCTCGGCTGAGGCGGTGACTCTCTGGGGGTAAATACATTAGTATTTCATTGGGATCACACTATCTGGCGGCAGGAGGAATGGCCACAACAGATGATGCGCCTGAAAACTCGAAATTATCAGTTAACCCGTTGCACTCCGACTGCTCCAGTCTCCCAGGCTCCCTTCCTACACCCACAATCCCATCACAACCCGTCCGCCCGCCCGCCCGTCCGCCCGCCTGTCCTAGTCGTCAACATCTAACCCACTCTCAATGTTCAAATGAGACGGTCTTCCGTTCCCCGAGAGCATGCACTCGCTCAGCCACGTCGCTGCCACTCTCCCAGCCACATCGTCAAGCCATTCGCCAAACGCACTTCGCGTGCGCTTACACGCCCGCCCATGCTCCCTATCGCCCGCCACCGCTCGCCCCATCGGCTCGCCCACTCGGTCGCTCACGCTCGTCCCGCCACATCGCCGCCATCGCTCGCCCACTTCTCGCCACTCGCTCCGCATATTCGCGCACGCCACATCGCCCGCTACACGCCCGCCCACCGCCCTCCCTCTCGCCCGCCACTCGCTCGCCCACTCGCTCACCCACTTCTCCACTCGCTCGCTCACTTCGTTCCGCCCACTTCGTCGCCCATTCCCCCAGCTCCTCTCATCTCGTCACTAGCCGCCCTACGGTCGCTGCCACAGCACTCGCACGCCACTGCCACCCGTCCTTTTGTCTCCTACTATCTACTTTTCAGCCTTTACTGAGCTGGTCTCATTTTACTTCCAACCAACCCCCAATCAACATTCTCCTCCTACCACCCACCCTCTAACCCACTACTCGCCTTTCCCAACCCAACAGTTATCCTCTTCCAAACAACACAACCCGACTTTCACCGGCCGTGTGTTACACGCGTCCTACTACAAGCAACTCACAACAAACCACCTGCCACAAACAGTAAACTCGGAACCCAAACACTTTTACTCGTAAGCGCAATCGCGAACTCTCTCTATGGAACATTTACAACTGTGCGCCTGTTCCTCGTTAGTTTCTCTTCATTGCAATTCACTTTACCATACGCTCTACATTCACTGTTACTATGCCTTTTACATAATTTCTAACAAATTATAAACTCGTTTATATCGTCGCCATCAATCTCGAGACTTCAACAACTTGTTTATATCAGTGTCAGCCACCTGTCATCCTTTTCGTACCGTTACATCCCACTCCAGCAAACATCCGCCTCAGCACGTTGTCAGTTACAAGTACTTGCTTCTAACCATAATATCCACCAAAATTTACATGTAGCAAGAAAGCATTTATGAATCGCTATACGAAATCCAAAACTCACCGCAATCTATTTTAACTTCATTTTCTATCACGTCTCCATTGGCAGTCTATTCTTCAAAACGTCTTCACCAGAACTCCTTACGATGCTATCATTATTCCATCACCATGTGACCTTCCGACACTCTACCTATCTTCTCATTTTCTTCCTTTCTTCATGTCGTCTTCACCTCTATCATCTCTTCAGCGATTGCCCACTCCCACCCTATTGAAGAAGCCCGTAAGCCTAACATGTCTGGTCTAGGAGCGACCTCCTAGCCATATCGCTCACAAAAAGGTTTACACATTGCTTCGTAATCGATTACCTTTTCCTGCCTATTTCAACAGTTCTCTACTTACAGTCTTCTCCTACTTCACTGTCACTCTCACCTCCGTGCACAGGAAACGATCTTATCAAACCATACCTCCACATCTCCTTCGGTCACTGCACCCACCTACGCGTTTTTTTTCTCTTAAAATCGTTCCCTCCGTCGTCGCCACCTCTTCAGCAATCGCCCCGCACCGCCCACGTGGCCTTCCCTTCAGCGCGTTGCCTCGGCCAGAGCTCGGCAGCTAAACTCCGAAATTGAGTTCCCCTCCCCCGCCCGCTTTCGCTGTCTTTGCGCCGAGATCAAAGCGAAGACGCTGCTCGGCAGCGCGACAGAACGAGGAATATTTCAGCGCTTGCGTCGGAGTCGCTTGCTGCGGAATTGCGGGGGCGCAGTGGAAGGGGGTGGACGAGGGGGAGCCGCTCCTGTGGGGCCGCGGAAGGGGGAGAAGCGATATTCGCATGTCCAGTATTTAGTCGGCGATTTTCGTTGCCGACGTATCGGTTCTGTTCCAGGCGCTGTATGGGTGCAAGTGCAGTGGATTACAAACTCAAGTTCCGGGATTCAACCAAGTTACCGGTTGTGGTCGGTGGATTTTAGAAGAGTGGAAAATCTCAGTGTGCTTTTTCAGGCTTGTGGTATGTAGAAGAAGCCTGTCAGATGTTCGGCAAAATTAAATCCCCCCAATAATATCCATTCCTAACGATATCCCGGCCAGACATTTGGGACAATTGTAGCTTTGGCGGATTTCTCCGGCCAGGCGTTTTGGACAATTGTAACTGAGACTGGAAAAAATCCGACTGCAAATACTACCTATACAGAGTGTCCGGGGAGGAAACGTCGAAATTTCGTAAATGAACTCTTATGACAATTTTAAGCATATCTTTTTCTAATAAACTTCTTGGATATTCCAAATGACTAAACCGTTATAAGCACTCAAAAGTTCATTTGAAAAAATGCTTTCTAGGCAAAAATTGCAGAAGCATAGAAACACTCCAGAAACATTTATAAACATATATTTTTTATTATTTACAAAATGAAAATATATATTTGTTCAGAAACAAAAATTTACCAAGAAATAAAAAAAAAGCAGTCGAATTGTGTAAATTGGGTGCTTTTTTATTTGTGTTTATTTTCCCCTTAAGAGCTTATTTTCGAAGTTTCGACGTTTACTCCCCGAACATCCTGTATAAAACACTAAAGGCTTTCGCTTAAAAAGACATTTGATATTTTCACTCACTCAAATTTCGCAATTTTTTCTTACAACGAAATATAGTGGTCTTCAGATGTGTTAACACTTCATATTATTAACCAGTTGGGTAGTATAAACACTAAACTACAATATTATTTTAAAACACTTACCTGGTGTCGTTTATTCACGTAGTTTTCTTGTGCGAGTTGCAATAGATCCATCGAAAGCAATCGATGCGAACAAATGCGTGATTATGAGGTTATTGTTCTTGAAGGGAAGATAGCAAATTAATAAAAGAGTGCAAAGGTAACAAATGTACACGTTGTACCTTCACCAGACGAGAAACGATGTTGTGAAGTTTGATTTAAGCAATAGACAAGTTAGATTCACCGGTGTCAACCGTCACTGATAAGATGTGGTGAATTTCAATTATGCCTGTAAGTAAAACCTCCAAATATTTTTTACTTGGTCATTAACTGCGATTAGGCATTTTCACAGATTGATAAAAATGATCACTGCAGAATCTCCTTAATTATAAATTTTATGATGTAGCAGTTACTTGATCGTCAATGAATCTCATAATAAAAGTTTAGGTAAGCTAATCGATTTTGTAGGCATGAAGTTCGACTACTGAAAAGGCAACTTACATAATTTTCTATGATATAATTATCTCTTAGGTCCGTCATCACTTTGGGGTAAGTTCAAAATATCTGTCATTTAAAAGTTTCAAAGCAGAACAACACTCACCTCTACACTGCTGTTTTGGAATACACTACTGTTTTGGATTACATACTCTTTCACTCCATGCTTCATTTGGGTACTGGAATTATATTTACAATACTTGTATTTTAAAAAATTCAGACGTGTAGGTTATTTATAATAAAGTACATGTAAGTAATTATAAATTTCTTGTATTAATTAATTGTGTAAATTATCACGCATAAGCAGTAATAAATAACTTGTAAAATTGCGTTGATTGCGAAAACGAATGTGGATGATTGCTGCGAGGAAAATGCAGCATTCTCTTATAACTCCACAAATAAACGCATTTCAGGGGGGGGCGTACAATAATGAAAATTGCCGCAGAATAAATTTCATTTGGTACAATTAATAGAGAGCAGAACTCGACTTGTTTACCAAACCTTGGTAACACTGGTGGTAACTACAGGGATATCGTAAGTTTATCGGCTGAGCAACGATGGTAGCTATGAAAATATATGGAAAGTGGTTAACGCGGGGACCCAGTGCTTTCAAATCCTACGGTTGGCCGAATGAGTACTTTTTACCAGTGTATGAAGAACACGAAACGCAAAGTAATAACAAGATAGACTTCAAGGTTTATCTACCCCGCTTTATATTCATAAGCTGTTTCGAAATAGAGTGTGTAAGAGTACAGTCTTTTAGGGAAACATGTCTTATGTAGATTTATTTTTAACTTCCAGTTTAGTTAGAATTTTTCCCGAAAATAATCCACAGAGTTGTTTGAAGTATCTATGTTTAACGAAACAGGCAACATTCAGTCAACCAGCGGGGAGGGGGAAGGTATTATAGGTATAATGTAAAATTATTCTTGAGTTCGAAATAAAAGAAGATTTTTGACAATACAGTTTGAATATGTGAAGCATCGTTGTGCATGTGACTTGGAAGTGAAGTTGCATTGGGGAAAATTTGTTTGGTCGATGAAATATGACGTGGATTTGGTTTATGTAGGAAACCTTTGATACGCGGCTGCATATTTGAAAACGTACTTTGTATAAATTATTCTCATACCACTTGACTATCGATAAGTGTTGCAATATTCAAGTAAAAATATCTGAATACCAACAAGAGTTACCTGTTTATAGTAATATATACAAAGCGATTCTTTGTATAGAAATTGGTGGCGTCATGTGACGTAATATTTTATTAACTTATGTATTAAATAATTCAAAAATATGCACAAGATTCTTATTCCGTTTTTTCATAACTAACAACATACACGACGTAAACTATTTACTTTCGTAAAACTTTGGAGCTCCGAACTGAAAGAACGTGTTTCAGGGAAATAATTTATTTGATAGAAAAAAGACAACAATAATGAAAATTACTCGCTTCACATTAATTCTGTGTTTTGTGTAACTTACATTTACACCTCAGCTATTATCACTACGATTCACGATACACGCTGAATAGAAGCACTTGAAAGAATGTGACGTAAAAAATGGTGTATTTCAAACGTTTAGCATTACATTAAATGTGTTAAATAAGCAAAGGTCAAGGTAATCGCAACCATTTACTGGGAGATTGAGGGAAATTAATGAAACTGCAGAGTCTAGTGACTGTAATGTATTTGTCTGTTTCAGATGGTCTTTGTCGGTGCCGCGAAGAGTTAAACGATCCAGGCACCACTTGGGAGGCCCCAGTTCACAGTGGTTCAGAACGAACGCAAAGCGGCAATAAGTCAGAATTATGGAACATTTCTTTGGTTAACTTTAGAATCAGACAAATATTTTGCGCTTTGCCTTTCCAATTGTTTTATTCAGGGTGATTTCACAAATGAGATTATACCAGAAGAAAATAAAATTAATGATTATATATAATATACAGTTTTATATTATAAAATACACATGCTTATTACAGAAATTATGCGTTAAAAATCAGAAAATCAAAATACAGACCTCGTAAAGACCAGATTAGATATATTTGTTTGCACATTATTTGTTTGCACGTTATGTAATGTTCTTTGTAAAGACAATGTTTGAATAACTTTCTTTATTGCTGGCTGTTAAAAGTACACGGACTTACGGGAAAATATTGTGATAATTGATTACTCATTATTTCAAATGCTGGATCGCTGAGGGCGAGATCTAGACTGTAGAGAGAATCATCCTCCAGCGGAACTGTTGTAGAAGATATGTTGTGCCACCCTACAGTCCGGATTCCACTTCAGCGATTTCCATATTTTATTACAGAAATTCCCGATCGGTCAGCGTTAAGCGTATCACAGTGAAGGAGAGTTGTAGGTGTCTAAGAAACAGTGGTACATTCGGAAGCAGACACGGGGGTACAAATGTTGATTCTACAATATGAGAAATGTCTCAATTCTCATGGTAATGTTAAAAAAATAATGTAATATGTGCTATATCTGCTACAAAAAAGTGTTTCCGTGAAATGCTTTAATTTTTTTTGACAACATAGGAAAATTAACCGTCTGGACGCGTCTCGTACATATGCATATTAAAGATTTGTGATGATACTCCAATTTTGGTATTTTCCTAAACTAAAAGTTCGTCAAATCGTATTTAAATAGATGTTACTATGTTATTGCCGTTCTTTAGAAACACTTCACCACTGTGCCACTCGATCCATTTTTCTCGCGTTAGACACCCCAAGAGACAACCCATTACAGGAGTGTCGCACTTCTCTCGAGGCGTACAGGTTTAATCGCCGAGTCGACCAACCGGCTTGGTGGTCAAGGAAGCGCGGAGCCGGACGTGCGTGACACCCACGTCACGGTCAGCCATTTTGGTGTTTTGCATTCTCCACATCTGCCGTTCTTGCTCGTTCACTCGGTTTTATTTTCACCTCGCGCTGGGCTTGATTAATGATTTTAGTTCCTTGGTTATGCAAATGTTTCCCGCAGAATATCAGACTAGCTACAAAAGGAAGTAAACGAGTAGGTATGAAATGTAAGATAATGAAATTGCTTTCCATGTAAGCATACCATTTTTGGAAGATAATAAGCATTGATACAGAAGGTTCTCATGACAAGATTCTCTTTATAGCATCTATTGGTAGTTGTAATGAAATGCAGCACCAATCGTGAAGGACCAACACTCCTCTCGGAAATGAATATGAAGATTGGTTAAGAACCGGAGGCACTAAGTGGATAATCACTACTTTACTGTGAATGCACGATTTCTTGATTTGCAGTTTGGATGAACGTGAACTTCTAATTTTGAGGTTTGATATCAAGAAGTCATGGAAATATCTTTCGTTTTAAATTGCAAAGTTTTTCATAATGAATCTTTCCCTTGTTTGATGTTATTCTGTATTAATCATAATAATATTTTCTCAGACTTGTAAATCATCATTATTACTTCACGTTATGTTGTTTGCAAGAATTACTCTATCAGTACTAGATAATTAAAAGAGAATGCTTAATATTGGGTGATTTATGCTGCAAATTACGTTGATAAATCCTCCTTAATGTTGTACATTTAAAATATTAAACAAATCCGCAAAGAAGTAACCAAAAATTGTCACTGACCAAAACAAGAAATTTTCTGCATGAACACTTCTCCGGAACGTAACATACGATTATTTCCAAACACCAAATAGTGGAAATCATAAGTAGTCACGTTCTTCATGAGACTATTAAAGAGGTATGACGAAAACTTATTGGAGCAAGCAAAATAATTCGGTATGTGGAAACATGAAAAACCAATATGTTGGATGTTTAAAAAATTGTATTATGATTTAAACTCAAGAAAATTCTCAGTAGAAATCAATAATGAAGAGAAGCAAAGAGGACAGCAATGTAAAATGAGAAAATTATTGAATAATTCAAGAAGAAGAAACGTGCAGCTGAGTATAACTCAACCACTGGAGGAGAATCCTAGTGGTCGGCAGCTTTGATCGGTACTTTTCGGTTCATTAATTGATTAGTCATTGGATTGCTATGGTCATAGTCCCGTAAGTGTAGTGTACGTTTTAACTCGGGTGAGAGGTTGCGGGATTCTTGCATCGCTGGTTGGCTAGATTTCGCCGTCCTGGAGGAGAATTCTAATGGTCGGCTGCCTTGATCGGTACTTTTCAGTTCATTAATTGATCAGTATTGGATTGCTATGGCCATAAGTGTAGTGAACGTTTTAACTCGGGTGGGAGGTGGCGGGATTCTTCCGCAGTTGGTTGGCTAGATCTTGCCGACCTTGAAGGCGGCTCATAGGTTTCTCCCTACCCAGGTATCTCCCACCACCAGGGCACCACCCCAGCTGGGATAACCTCTACGATCCTGAGAAATGTGGTAATGTACGGAATGCAAGTGTAAGTGTGTAAGGGGCGATGAGAGGATAACGAAGAGGAAAGAACCCTTGTGCGTGGTCCATGGCTCATTTGTTACTGTACTCCTCCAGTATTCACCTGGTGTTGATCGGAGAAACCACAGAAAACTATCGAGCACAACAGCCGGTCGCTAGAATTATTCTGGCAGCTGTGAATCTAGGGCCAACAATTTTGCCATCGTTGCGACTCGAATCCTAGAACCTCCCAATCACAGGCACAGCAGGGACACGTTGATGTACTGAGCTGTGGTCCGGACACTAAAGCACAGCGCCTTGGTGGAGAGGCAACTAAAGCGTTGCTATTCAAACAGCACGGAGATTTAGTTTCTAACTGTTTGATCGGTACTTTTTCGTTATAATACCAGGTGAGTGCCAGGGCAATACGCTAACAAAAAGGTCACGGACCGCGCGCGATCTTCCCTTCCTCGCTCTTGTTCCCTCCTCTCCATTTAAACTCACACACCTACACTAACTGGGTATGTCAGTTGCTTAAAGCTTTTCTGGGATGCGGCGATGCCCTGCTAGGGTAGATACGTACTTTGAGAGAGAAAACCCCGCTAGCCGACACATAGCTCGGCTTCGGATCTCACGATCCAAATGAAGTACACCGCTAGTTCCAGATGTATAGTACACTTACGGAACTGTGTCCTAAATTTCTGATGCGCCCAAAACAACTATATACAAACAATCACTCGACTGCATGTGACCAATGGGGAGTGGAAGACGTGCAATACTGAATCACTTGCCTGGAATGGCCTCCCTAATGTTGGCTATTGCCTTTACCGAAGATTTCTTGGGATTGGAAACCACTGCAAAGTAATTTATCTTTTGTGTTTTTGCTCGTTAAAACTTCCTGTTAACTCTACTGTATCCATTTCAAAAATAATCATTTCTTGCAGTGTTCTACTTAAAATTCCCAGGTCAACATATATTCTCTGAAAGGAAATTGCAAGAAATTGGTTTTACTTCAAGCAATATTTGATACGTCGTACATACTTTTGTCGCTCTGCACTCCTATAAATCAATAATTTTTGTTCCTATAGTAATTTATAGCATGCTTCCTTTCCGTTCAGTTGCGAGTAATGTAAAATGCAACACGGAAACAGTCAATTCCGTGAACTATGGTCATGTAAGTATGCCTTTTTAAAATACCCCTAGTACGTAATATCAGAATGCCACTCGAATAAAGCCATCAAGAAACTTTTTTTTTTCATAATAACGTCGTCCACTTATATGAATTTTCAACAAGATGGCCTCATTAAATTCCAAAGAAACTCAGTTGGATATAACAGGCAATAAAAGTAAAAGAGTTTTAGAATCGTTTTTGTTTTTTCATCAATGATAAAATTCCATAAAAAGAATTTATCAATGTTGGGTTGCATGTTCTAAAACTCTATTTTTCTCTGTTTAGGATTTTAGAATTTTGTAAGCCCCGAATGTTTGAATGTAAAATAAAATTACGTCAAGTTAGTACAACATTAAACAGCGACTTAACTAGAATACCGGGAGAACCTTGTAAATACTATCACGGAACCATGCTATTTATTATTTTCTCTTCACCAGTTCATATAATAATATTCAAACTCACACAAACTCAAATGATCGTGCAGCAAAGAAAAGACACCGATCGACTCTTCCTCGCATCTTAACGCTCAATCGACGGCGTGTCCGCAGCGCAATCGACACCTGACAAGTTGGTCGACCGTAACTGCGTTTAGCAAATCCATTCCACACAGCTCACTCGCCACTTGGCACACTGAATTAACAGCACTCGTGCGATCAGCAGATATAAATGTCCGCTCCCGTCGTCCCTTCATTGCTTCGCTTTGCTTTGCTTCGCTTTGCTTTGATTTCTTGCTAACGTTCGACTGGTCACGTCGACGTACATCCGAAAATCAGTTGTTATGAATGAATAGCGTCCAGGTGAATCAATAAGGGTCCAGTTAAGTGTGTCCAGGTGAATAAATAAGTATTCATACTACAGTTTTCGCCATTTTTTCTTTCTTTTAAGTAAGATGCACTGTATTCTTAGTGTTAGAGTCAAGAGAGACAGGCAGCTGCGAGACGTATGTTGCTGTGTGTGGGGGCTTTTTTTAAACGTGAGGAGGCTTAACTTTAGAGTGTAACACTCAAATTCCTGTCAACCACTGGCGGCTGGCGCCCCCTGGCAACAAATTGATGCAGCTCGATCGAATGACAAATGTAATTTCTAAAATTTACAATACTAATATATAATAAAATGAAAGCCGTTCTTATAAATTAATTTAAAATAAGATTAATAACAATCTATATTGAAATATTACTTACGTAATTTTAAGCGTAGTGTCCGTGTCAGTTGTATATATCTCACGTGCACGTAGTTAGGGCTTTGATTTCTACTGGGCACTTAATTTTTTATTAGTTATGCATTGAGAGAATTGACGGAAATATAATTCATACAAAACAAAAAGAACTTGGTTTCGAAACCACAATGGTCGCACTTTTTACACTTTGAATTAAGCACTATTTTTGGACACGTTTTACACGAATAAAATAATTTTATTTCGAAAATTTCAGTACCCTGCATATTGTAATAATGAAAGCGTCTTCCCCCCACATTAGTATTCACACCAGCGCTCTGAGACTAACTGCACCCGGAAGAATGCACCCTTCGTGAGTCACAGAACGAAACGTTCTTTTAGAATGGCCAACTTCCAACTAGAACGGAACACTACAAGTTATCAAGTGTACATTTTAAATCAATAAACGTACAGTGTAGAGCCAAAGCACAAAGCCAAAGAGTAAAGGCAGTAATAGAGCCAAGAGCGAAACATCGTGGAAGGCCTGGAAGAGTACCAGTCGCCGGAGCGTACGTTTGTTGGGCGCTCTTTGTTTCAAAATTATTTCATTCACGTCGATTTTGCAGCAATTCCTTGAATATTGAATCTCATTACAACGAAAGTGTATATTCCTAACATATTATAAAATATTTTTCGAGAGTTAATATTGTGACGTTTCTCATAATTTCTCTTGTGCCGATTCTGCATAGAACATTCCATTGGCGAATTTACAGATCGCGCAGCTAGTTCCAATTGGTACAAGTGCTTGAAAAAAAAAGCTTGGCGCGATGCGCCGGGAGCCCTAGTCGCCTGGCTCCTCGTTATCCCGCCTCCAATTCGGCCCGCGAGCCGCGCGCGCACGCTACTCTGAAATGGCGCCGTTATTTATGCCGCCGCCAGGTGCAATACAATAATTCTCGAGCCGCAGCGGCGGTGGCGGCGGTGGCGAACGCGGTGGAGGGGGAGGTGGCGATGGCGGTGAACATGGTCATAGTGGGGAAGGTGACGGTGGCGGTAGCGGTACAAGACACCATGTGGGTGGCGGTAAAGGTCAGAGTCGAGGTGGTAACGGTTGTGACCAGGTGGCAGTCAGAGGTGGCCATTGTGATAGTGGGGAAGGCAACGGAGAAGGTGGTGGTATAGGAAGCTGTGTTGGTGATGGTGGCGTTGGGTTGGCAGAGATGGAGATGGAGGTGAACATGGTCATGGAGGGAAGATGACGGTGGCGGTAGCGGTACAAGTCACCATGTCGGTGGTGGTGAAGGTGGAAGGGAGGTGGCGATGATGGTGCAGGTGGATGTGACGTAGGAGGTTGCGCCATGGTGATAGTGGAGAAGGTGGCGGTGTATGTGGTGGCGCTGGGAATGGCAGAGGCAGTGAACATGGTCATAGTGGGGAAGGTGACGCTCGCGGTAGCGGTACAAGTCACCATGTCGGTGGCGGTCAAAATAGAGGAGGCGATGGTGTTGCAAGTGGCAGCGACGTCGGAGGTGGCCGTGATGATAGTGGGAAAGGTGACGCTGGTAGATGTAACGTGTCGGTGGCAGTGGGAACGGCGGAGGAGGTTACAGCGGTGACGGTGGCGGTGCAGGTGGCGAGGACAGTAGTGCTGTTGGCTGCAATGGCAGTGACGGAGGTTGTTGTGGCGAGGCGGGGAGCTGTTGCCAGTGCGGCGGGAGATGTGGCGGCGGGGGTCGCAGCAAGAGGCATGAGCGGGAGGTGCGAGGCGGTGTTGATGTTGGTTCCAAGTGTGGTTGAGTTGGAGCGGGGTGGTGAGGGCAGGTGGGGCCGGAGGAGGAGGCGGGGGCGGTGCAGGAGGTCCCGGGCAGTGGTGCGGGTGGGGACGGTGTCAGGCGCGGTTTGTTTCGTTGGCAAACGCAGCTCGCGGCGATCGCCACATGATGAAGCTGGCGACGCCGACGTAAGCGTTGCGAATGCGAGAAGGCGATGGCCGAGGAGGAGGTGCACCATTTGGCACAAGCGAAGCTGGTGGAGGTGGAGTGGTGGGTAATAGAGGTACGACAGTCGTTGGAAGAGTAGATGATGGAGGTGGGGATGATGAATGAAGCAATAAAGACGATTCGAACAAAACAGGTGGTACCATTAAGGTGCCGCGAAGTTGTACACTGTGGAGACAGATGTGAAGGCGACTGGGGGGTCGATGTGGATGGTAACGTCTAAATGTCTATGGAAGTGTGAAGCAGAGATATGAATCATCTGGCCGGAGAGGCACTAGTAATGAACATGAGGCTAATCGTTGCGAGTTCCTAAATGTAGTTGTTACAGAAGCAAAGAGAGAATATTCACAAAAATGAAATATTTTTAAGGGACTGATTTTGAAAAAACTTTGGGTAATTTAAATGGGAGTGAATAGAAGACAACAAGATTCTATTCGAATATGAAGAAAGTTTGCAGTACAATAGTTTGAAAGTTTGGGAATGTTTAATGATACGCAAAATTCTTTGTCTCTTTATTTACACGGTATTGTCTACAAGTCTAATGTGAAAACTGGAATTTTGTTTAATATGTTATGGCTTTAATGTGTCTGACAATTGAGTTCAATTACGTCAAAACATCTTCGCCATAAATGTAATTCTGCAGCCATATCATTGGCATCATCACAGAATCCTACAACCATCTCCTGTTCTCGCCATTCCCGCTGCGGGAAAGGACGCGGAGAGGTCAAGGCCACCGGGACCCGTTCCTTGCCTCCTGCGCTCCGCCCAACCGCTTGCCCCTCTCCACCGTTCTCTCGGGTTCTCCTAGCGGGGCCGTCGCCGTGGCGAGTAACGACCGGGCCCGTGAAAACAATAAAAGCACGCGGCGCGCGTCGCGCCTTGCCGCGCCGAGGGAAATTCGCACCCTGCGCCGCGGTGGGCCGACCCGCCGTACATCACGCGCTAACTGCCACGCGTCCGCCGCGGAGGTGTACCCCAAGGCCCCTTGTTCTGGGCATTCAACATTTAAATGTTGCTGTATTACGTTTGCATTGCACGCGATAAATATATGTTGTTGAATGTTTTTTTGGTTCGTTATTCCTATTTTAACATTTCGTACTATCTCTCTGAGCCTTGCTGTACCGAGCATTCATACGCGAGAAATAAGAATACCCACAGTATGATTCATTAAGTGAATGCAAAGAACACCATTTGCGCTTCGTCAAAAGTTATTTCTTCTTCTTCTTTCTTCTTCATCATTCTTTTGCTTTCTTTTTTCTGTTTCTTCTCTTCTTATTCTCTTTCTTTGTCTCTTTTTTCCCTCTCTTTTTCTTTCCTCAGATTCCCAACTATTATCTATGTCTATGGACTATGACAATCACAGACGTCGCTGAAACCCAAAAATGTGTATCGAATAACTATTGTGTTGTGTAATAAAACGATTGACTGACGACAGAAGTTTGTAGTTCTAAGCTAATACGGAAGGGATATTGGATGGCCGATATACTCGAATTTGGTGACCAGAAGGGAATTTACTTATTCACTGATTCTGAGTACAGTTTCATATAAGACCAATTTTATATTACCTGATGTGATTTGAGTTGTAAATTTGAATTCAAAGTAATTGTTAAGCATGACTCCACAGTTGTCTAGATTTTAAACTTTTTACTCATGCACTATCGTTACCATCAGCCTCTCAACATATTCATTTTTTTGTTTTAAGTTTATTAAAATATTCTGTACCTTTGCGCGTCTGCTTGATCTAAAGCACATAGTACCTCTTCATTTAAATGCGTAACACTAACTCAATTTATTATTTGGCATCATATACAAATTCCAATTTCCCAAATAATTTAATTTCAGTTAAATCAACAATACAAATTATGTCCCCCAAAACACACTGAAATATTATATTAACTAAAGTATCACTGAACCAAACACAAAAATAACAACATATTAACAAATATGCAATTTATTTAAGTATTCATTGTAAAAAACGGCATCGATCGGGTTAAAAGATTAATGCTGCTGCGTATTCAATTAAGCCTCTTCGACATCTCGCATAATTTGTTTCGCATCTCCTAGAAAACATTCCACATTCTTTTCAGAGTGATTTTGAAACCTTCACTCGGGAGTTGCAATCTGTCGTAGCGAGAGTACATACTACAAGTTCCCTACTTCTTGCACCTGAGAGAAGAGGTGCGTTTCACCGCCACGGGAGTCGCTTGCCTCTTCCACCACCCTCCTCTACGACCTCTCGTAAAATTTCATTGAATGTTGGCTCTCTCTCCCGGGCGACGCCGCCGAGGTAAGGGTAGTCCCGTGAGAGCTGCACTTGTAATTCCCTGGGCCGGCGACGCCGCGCCGTGCGGACGACGTGAATGGAGACGAACTCATTTAGCGATTCGACTACCTCGCGGTGCTGCTCAAATTCTGCTCGCCGGGTTGGTTTAGCGAGCGTTGTTCACGAGGAGTTTAGATAACTTGCTGTCAAGTATTTGCGAGACGGTTCAGATCTGCTTTGCTGACAAAATTGCCTCGATACGTAATTAAAGTTAAATAATATTGAATTAATAACATTTTCCTTCACATTACTGAACTAATTACGGTATGATATTACTTCAAAATATACATCAGACATTCTTCGATATATAAAATATTTTCAATATTTTATATTAATGTGCTCTGCAAGTGAGGTTGTTCTGATTCCGATTTGTGGCAGTAGGCGACAAGACATAATCGAAACGGAATGTTCTTCATTAACTAAATCTGTATCCGTAAATAATAATTGTAAATAATTATGATTATTAGAATCGTTTCTTTAGGATAATAAAAACCACTACGCGAAAGTTTAAAACAACTTTTATAATAGCAAATATTGTTAAAATATTTGTAAGTTGTAGTAACATTGTAGTGCAAGTAAATATATTTATTTCACTTTAATATATCTAGGAACATATCTCGAAAGGTTATGGGGAAACAGAAATAATAAACCAATATTAATAAATGCTTAACCTTTGCCAGTTTCTTTTTATTGTATTTACGTGTATTCAAACAGTGATAAATTATAAGTGAGCATACTAATTCCATTCGCCTCTAATGTATACGCTGTAGCTTACCATGAATATTAAGACATTAAAAAGCTTGAGAGCTCAACAGAAACCCGGGACTGTAATTACTTATGAATTATGTTTTTATCTGTGTAGTTAAATGCACCAGTGGGAGCTGAACCGTCTCACAAAACAAATGCATCGATGCTGACTGTGATCATTTAAATAATGTCAATATAATGCTGTGAAACATTTAAGCGATGAAAATAAATGAATATCCTCTGTGTTAAAAATTGAGTATTTTCCAACACCTTGCCTATGTCACTTGTATCGTAGACTGACGTTTCATCAATTTACCACACGGGGTAAACATAAGTACATTTTCTTTCATTCAACACACATAATATTACGAGTAGTGAAAGAATGTTTAATAGTTTCTTTGTTAATGGTATAGCAAATGCTTAATTTCATAACCGTTTCTTGCAACTTCATGTGCTATGTTGTCCATGATCTAAAATATCAATGAGAACTATTAATCTTTTATGAGAAATCTCTAAAACTATCTCTATAACTCTTATGAGAACTATAAATTATTCATGTACCAAAATCTCTGATCTTATTTTAATATTTTCTTGATGGATGGAGAGAGAATTGTTAGTGGTGTTCCATTGTTTTAAATTATTGTTGAAACGGAGTTATAAAAAAGAGGAGTAATGAAAATAGGCTAGAGGTCAGTAGATAGTTCCTCACTGAAAGAAGACAAAGAGCTAAAAAATACGTCATGTTAATTTTAGAATTCCAAACGATATTTCTATATTGATATCGCATTATAAATTACACAAAATAAATTGTAATCCAATAGTTAGTCTCATTCACGTCAATACAAATAAAGTTTAATACAAATGAATGAAATAGACGTTTAGTAGATTATTGGTGGAAACTCGTTTGCTTGTCATGACTCAAAGAGACGGGCTCCTGCATACGCCTGCAGCTTCGCGCGAACGTTGCCCAGAAGGACACAGACGAAGGTGACAGTGGATGTAAAGGCGACAACCACAATGGCGGCAACGACAAAACACGTACGGTCTCCAGCAGTCGTTGCTTTCCGTACACTAGGATGAATTCCAATTGTATCCGAACAAAATTGTGAACACTAGAAAAATAAAAAAAAAACACTGATAAGCAAGAGAACAATATATAAGAAAATTAGAAAAAAGAACCATAAAACATTTAAAAGAATTAAAATCATCAAGCTATAAGCGTTTTAATTTGTATACGCGCATTTTATAAATGACGATTTATAGAAGTAATTTGTCTCAGGGTCAGTTAGAAACTGACATAAAAACTGTTTAGTGCACATTCAAGACATTAAATGTTCCTTATAAATTATTGAATCATGAACATAGACAAAGCAATAAACGATCGATAGACATTTTATTTACAATGTGGAAGAAAAGATAAGAATATCCCAAAAATTGTATTTTTTGTAGTACAATGGAAAGTGTGGTTTGAAATCAGTCTATTTATACTTGCAAAATTTGTTATGAGCTCATAAGATCGCTCATAAGATCATTCATAAAATCATTCAAAAGCTTGTTCAGAAAATCGTTTCCAAGACCGCAGGTTGCACGGAATTTAATTCCTCGTCTTTGCCCGCGAAAATTAACGGGACTGCTAAGGAAGCTCGAGATAGATCCTCTCTCTCTCAAAACGTCAACTTCTGCAACGCTTCACTGTTCCCGAGCACCGTCGATTTTTCCCAGATTGAGACCTCGCGCTCCGTTCGGACCCAGTGTGCGCCCGCGCCGCGCCAACGGAACGCGGGATTTCGGACAGAGGGCCCGGCCCGGGACTGTCAATGGGGCTCCTTCCGTTGTCCCACGGGCCGCGCGTAGCCGCCAACCCCCGACCCGCGCATTGTGCGGCGCGTCGCCGGCCGTCACGTGGGAGGTGTCGGAGGTGACTACAAAGGGGCGCCGCCGCCGCCACGGCATGCCGCCCCGCCCCGCGCCGCCCCGCCCCGCGCCGGCAGTTGTGGCCCCGCGACGCCTCGCGACGTGCCCAGCTGCCTACGACCGA